ACAATTTCTTCATTAAGCAAGGAAAATAAATTGTAATATAAAATTTAATTAATATCTATGCACTAATGAAGTTCGTTTCGAAAATACATGAATATTTCGAAATACAATACGTGTTTCTTTTCAATCGATTGTTTAATAGAATTAACAAAATAAAAAAAGAAATAATAATAATAATAACAATAATAATAAAACAAAGAACTCATTCCAAATTATTTCACAATGTTTTGCATTTCATTGAATTCTTCGAAAAGGAGACAATTGTTCAAACGATTTGTAAGTGTTAATGAGTGAAAACTACTTGAAATAGTAGATAATTCGTCGTCCTAATTTCTTCGATCGGAATATCACGGAGGATACACAAAACGGGGAAAGAGATAGAGAGAGGAATTGTAAAAGGAGGGATAAAAGAAGGGAGAGAGAGAAAAAGAGGTAAGGAATGAGTGTGTGAGTGAGCCTTCTCATGAGGTTCTTAGCGTTTGAAAATAGACAAGAGGATCAGTAAACGAGAAATTCTCTGACTTGTCGTCAAATTCGTCCTCGCTCATTCCTCAAAAAAGACTATTTTTAGTTATTAATTATTGGTTTTGGAAATATATAAATAAAAAAGAAACAATTTATCTTACAAATGTTTAAAACATTATCTTATCTGAAAATGGCATACTACTAACGTCATCGGCATAAACTTTCTGAAGGTTTATTTAATCATATATATATATATATATGATTAAATAAATTTATATGTAATTAAGATCGAAAGTTACGATATAAAAGAATATTATAAATTGATTAATTTTATGGAAGATAATGGACGATGATTTCTCCGTCAGGTCATTGGAGAAAATTTAATTATTATATTTGAATATTATTAAATAAAATAATTTTTATGAAATATTGAATAAAAAAATATCTTTGATTGATAACTATTCGATAATATAAGAAAAATCAAAGCTCGTAAAGAAGAGAATTAATTTTTCAATCCAAAAATTGAATGATTATCATTCGACATTGTTAAACCTAAACACTATAATAGATACATACGTATATATATATATATATATGTATATATAAATTGTGTCGATAAGTTCATAAATGCATACTGAGATGAATAAATACGTGAATACATTGGATAACATAATCGAACTTGACGAAATATCAAGTAAGTACATACATATTGACTATAATACATAGCAGTTAGAAACGAACGAATGCGAGTACAGTACATAGATTATATTCTCCTCTATGCATATTGCTCGTTGATTGCTTTATCACGTGCTTGACTCGGAGTAGCCTCGTGATTAAAGAAAAAATTAGATCTATATTGATTTTATGAGATGGAATTGTAAAAGAGACGAAAATTTGTTACTTTGAGTTTCTCGCATGCCAATAAAAAAAAAAAAAAAAAAAAAAAAAAAAAAAAAAAAAAAATTAATTCTATATTCGCAATGATACCATAATTCAATGACAATATTATGCAGTCTGGAAAAATAAAAAAAAAATCGTTCGATTTCTAATATATAATTCCTCTCATCGTACCTTCTCTTCAAACTCGACGAGCACATTTTAAATAGTCTGCAAACCACGACACAACGATAATACTACTGTTGCGTTTCTAAAAATTAGAAGAAAAGATAAAACGAGATTGCGTTTTTTCTCCTACTTATAAAATAGTTCGCTGTAAGTTATCTCTATGGGAGATCGATTATCTCGTTTTCAGTCGAGAATCCATACGATCGATTCGTAGTAATAGTAGATCTAAAAATGTACGAGAAATATAAACGTCGATAAACTAAACTAGCAAGAAAGAGAGAAAAAGAGGGAGACAGACAGACAGACAGAGATAGATAGATAGAGAGAGAGAGAGAGATGTAAAAAGAGACAGACAGACAGAGAAAGATAATGAGTTTCACGGCATTGAACATTGGACCCTGTGTTACGTTATATTGTTAAGTTTCCTCAAGGTGAAACATTGCTGTTAATATTATATAAAGATGGCGAGAATTACGTCATAATTCTAATACATAATTCACGATAATAATACGATTAATATTTAATTTTAACTATCAAAGTGCTTATACTCGTCTTGATTGATTGATTGGGAAATTTCTAATAAATTGAGTAAAAAATGAAATTTGATTGAATGATATCCGATACAAGAATTCGACTTGACAAAAAACGAAACAGGATTATTAATTTTGTAAAAGAAAACAAAAATAAATAAATAAATAAAGAAAGAAAGAAAGAAAGAAAGAATGAAAAGAAAAACAAGATCAATGACAAATAAACATCTGTCGGTAACTAAATATTTATCGGATAATCTTTATGTCAATAAATATTAATAATATAATTAACATATACAATTTCTTTATCCTTACGAATATTATAAATATTAATTACCTTATATGAATAAAAATTTGTAATTTGTATAATATATAAAAATAAGAGAGAATTTATAAATAAAATTAACATTTATAATATTCATAGCGATAGAAAATATTATAAATACAAGTTATTTATAATTATAATTAATATTTAATATACATATATGTTAATTTTATTTAAATAATATAATTGATATTTTTGCAATATTCTTCGAACGAAAAATTATCCGGAATGAAATAAATTATAACGAAATTATTCATACTATGAAGGCATGATTGAAGGCCATGATTGAAAAGTTTCCATTAATTGAAAAGAAGAAAAAGAAATGATAGTTTTTACGATAAGAAAAACATCAAGGGGCAGGAGGGGAAGGGGGAAGGTAAAGAAAAAGAAAGGCAGACAGAAATATAGTAAGAGAGAGAGAGAGAGAGAGAGAGAGAGAGAGAGAGAGAGAGAGAGAGAGAGAGAGAGAGAGAGAAAGAAAGAGAGAGAGAAAGAGAGAGAGAGAAAAAAGAGAGAGAACGAGAGAGAGAACGAGAGAAAGAGAGAGAAAGAGAGACATCATCAATAATGTCACGCAAGAGGAAGGGCGTACGATATATACCGGAAGAGAGTAGACCGTTCGTGATCTACGAGGGGAAGGATTTCGCGTTACGTCGCACTGTTATTGAACAAGCTCCTACGCGAATCGTGATGAGAGTAGACTAACTGAGACCAACTAACCGATCCAATTTATTGCTTCTCTTTTTCTTGTTGTTCTAAAGAAAAATCTGTATGTGGTAAACACGACTCACTCACTCTCTCTCTCTCTCTCTCTCTCTCTCTCTCTCTCTCTCTCTCTCTCTCTCTCTCTCTCTCTCTCTCTCTCTCTATCTATCTCTCTCTATCTATATTTTTCTCCTCTCTTTTTCTAAGAAATATGTATATATGTAATTGAAAATAACATACATAAATAGAATCATGTTCAATTTCCTCTTCAGTAGAATTATTTTATCCGAGCATGAATAAATATCGTATTTATCTTTCCTCTTATCTTTAACATATATATATATATACATATGATAATTTATATACATATGTATATATATATAATTAACAGATTTCTTTCTGCGTTCTAATATATGCAAATATGTTCAGATTAAAATTAGATTATTTTTTATCTCTTCTCTCTTTTTAAATACATTATTCCAATCGAAAATTTTGTATTATTCCAATCTTAAAAAGATACTCCTTTAATTTAATAAGAGAAATTAATTAATAATATAATTAAATATTTAATTATAAAAGAAAAAAAATAATAATAATTTTAATGAAATAATATCATAACGATGTTAATGTCATCGATGCATTTTCTTCATATCAATATTATTTTCAAATGATGAATAATAATAATATATTAATTTCCCACACACACACACACACACATACAGATGAACAACTCTAATCGTTGGAAATAAAAACGTATAAATAATAATGAAAGATAAAAAAAGAAAAAAGAAAAAATTACGAGTATAAACTTTTGATCCATTAAAACGAGTACATTTATTCGATTTGTTGACTGACATTAATTGTAAGCGTACATATTTTATAAGTATCGCTTCTCTGACAATAAAATAAAATTGTCTTCCTTCAATAAAAGATACGATTGATCATTCGAATTTAAGAAAATAAGAAGCCCTAAAGCTTTCTTTTTTTTTTTCCAATTCAACGTAAACTTGCCCCCTCCACCCCCTCTCTCTCTCTTTCTCTTTCTCTCTCTTTCGAATCTAGAACATTAACGATTGATTACAAACTTCGTTATGCCAAGTAATTTTGTATAAAAGATTTTCCAACAAGAGGAAAGAATATCGTGTGTATTATTACACTTTAGATGAGAAATACGAAACTCATTATTACTTCGTTTCCTTTTTCTTTTTTCTTTTCTTTTTTTTTTTTTTTTTTTTTCTTTTTCCTTTTCTCTCTTCTCTTTTACAAACTATGACACGAAGAAATGTAAAGCGAAATGAAAAAAGGTAAGCTCATTTTCCAACACTTCCGATCGAATCGAAGTAATGACGACGAACATAAATGAAAAATCGATCGATGACGAATACGAAACAAATAGAAAAGTTTGAGATACAAGTACGTCATTAAGAGCTTTGAAAATAGATAAAAAAAAAAAGAGGGAGAAAAGAGAGAGAGAGAGAGAGAGAGAGAGAGAGAGAGAGAGAGAGAGAAGAGAGAGAGAGAGAGAGAGAGAGAGAGAGAGAAAGAGAAGAAGAAAAAGAAAAAGAAATATATCGAACAATATTAAAATCGGAAGTCAAATAATATTTCAATATCTATATAATAGGAATATTTCTAAATATTCCTATAAATAGATATAAATAAATACATGAAGAAATTGAAAAAAAAAAAAATATATATATATATATAATATTTGATCACGTGTAGCAAGTAAATACATACAATTTACAAGAAGACTCAAAGTACAAAGATTAGACATTATCACGATCTTTTACTCGAAGCATTCGAACTCTTCCGTAGAAGGCGATCCGATATCTTCCAAAGAAGAACGAAGAGTCGAGTTCGTAGAAGACTACAAGAAAGGCAGGTGAATGAAAATAGAAACAGGAAAAGAGAGAGAGAAAGAGAAAGAGGAAGAAATAGAGAGAGAGAGAGAGAGAGAGAGAGAGAAAGAAAGAGAAAGAGAGGGAGGATACTATCCGTCGAGGTTGTATCAAATTGCGTGGAGACCAAGCACCGAGAATAAAATATTCCACGTGACGAGAAGGGCGTTCATTGGCTTGTATTCACGACCGCGAAGAAATGCTTGAGAAACCGAATGCAAACATTTTTATTTATTTTTTTTTTTCTTTCATCATCAAAAGGAAAAAAAAAATAAAAAAGAAGAAAAATGATGACCATCTTGACTTTTTCATTGTGTAATAACCGATCGGAATGTTATTTCGATTTCGTCATTATTTTCGTATAATTTATAATTAAATGTTACTCAGTCTTTTGGGCTATATATATATATATATATATATATATATATATATATAAATATAAAATTAAATAAAATTATTTTACAAAGAGAAGACAGCTATATTGTAATCCTCTATCTTTTTCTCTCTCTCTCTCTCCCTCTCTCTATCTATTTATCTTTTTCTTTCTTTTACGAGCAGGACTTTGCACGACTGGTAACGAAGGACGTCTGACGCCTCCCTCGCATATATTCCTTGTGCACATTCGTATACAAATACGTATATGTACATATATCTCTAGCCTAGTATAAATAGCGCCGGCGCATACGTTGATTCGTGAGAGGAAAGCTTTACAATACCTCTTCCACGCGCGCGCTCTTTAGGTAAAGAATAACGAGAAAGAGAGAGAGAGAGAGAGAGAGAGAGAGAGAGAATGTGATATACACATATATATAAAATTTGAGAAATAAAAAGAGAAAAGAAAAAAAGAAAAAAAAGAATAAAAAGAATTTGGATCAACTTACCGAAGAAAGAAAAAAAATGCACACAACTCAATGAGAAAGAGGAAGAATAAAAAAAGAAACTATATATATATATATATATACAAATACATATATATATACGTGTAAACTATATATATATATATGTATCTGTGTGTAAATTTGCAAAAAAAGAAGAAAAAAAAAAAAAAAGAAATAATAAAACTGTTGCAAAGTTTCCTCCTCTTTCTTTTATCGTCAATTCCAACCGACTAAAGTTCGTTTTTCTCAATACGAATCTGGTAAAGAAATTATCTCTGTTCACAATCCAAGGGTCAAGGATGCCGTGAGTGTAGGTGTGCCGCGACGCAGTCATCCGTACCAATGCCGTTGCCGCGAAGACGACGAGGAAAATGACAACGACGACGACAACGACGACGACGACGACGAAAACGACGACGACGACAAAAACGACGATGACGAAAACGACGAAGACGAAGACGAAGACGAAGACGAAGACGAAGACGAAGACGAAGACGATGACGATGACGATGACGGATGATGATGATGATAATAGACGCCGTGGAATCAAGGAAAGGGTGGTATAAAGGCAGTAGGAGGATGATGAGGTGGAGGAGAAGGAGGAGGAGAAGGAGGAATGAAAAATGGCGGAGGTAGTATGCACCGAATGGTACACGACTGAAGCCGGTAAAACATATGTATATACGAGCGTGTATGTTTTTATGTATGTATGTATGTACGTATATGTGTGTGTGTGTGTCTGTATGCGCATGCACGCGCGCGCTATACAATGTTTTTTCGTTGTTATATCTCGAAAAGTATTTTGATTCTTCGCCGATTACAAATGAAAATATATTGTTTTGCACTTTTCACTTTATACCATTTATCTTCCTTCTCTAAATATTTAACCTTTGATCAATGATACTACGTAAATTATAAAGCCTGATTGTGTCTAAGAGACGACATTGTTGTTATTGCCATCAATGTCGTCATTGTTTCCGTCGTTCCGAAATGAAATCCGACACTTTTGCAATGAATATATATATATATATACACATGGAATTTCTTTGGTAAAGAGAAGACTTTAAGTTTATAAAACAGAAATAAACATGCTAAATTAGGAAGGCGTGAATCCCTCCTCGAACTGTCCTACTACTATGACTTCTACTATGATTAACATCGATGAACGATATATTCTCAACGATCGAATCTTCATTTATATATATATATATATATTTCACTCTCTCTCTCTTTTTTTGAAAGTTTCTTATTTCGTTATATAAGATTGACGAAGTTATTTTGAGAATCGTGTATCTTAGTTGGAGCGCCAAGTTGAAAAGAATTTAAATTAAATTTAATTTCGATGCCAATAAATAATCATCGAGAAAAGATGACGTAATATTTGTTGTTGTTTTTGGTTTAACATACCTATGGATTTCTTTTACCTTCTTACTTCCTTCCCCTTCCCCTTTCTTTCTTTCTCTCTCTTTTTCTCTCTCTCTTTCTCTCTCTCCCTCTTTAACTCTTTCTTTCGTCGTATTATTAAGTTAACACTCGATACGTCTTTGTCACACGAAGAGCACTGGAGTGAGACCACGTGCTTCTCTTACCTATCACTGACACTAACACATTTACCTCTTACTAAATTAACCTCCTTTAATCTATCCTTCCGCGTTACTTCTCGATATGCTTACTTCTCGTCTCTTCAAAATATGAGAAGAAAATTCCGTAGACCGGTTTAACATTCGAAAGAGTTTTTCTCAATTTTCCATAATTTTCCTTTATATTTTTCGGCTTGAGCTGTTAGAAATTTCTTATATTTCTCTGTTGAGCCGATTAATTCTTCATTAAAACGACAATAGTGAGATTATTCGTTTTGACGAAACTCGTTGCGGAGAAACGTTCCGTAACGTGTTACGCGTTAGACGCTACTAATTCTATTGGAAAATACGAACCGACGTACATAGGATACGGACTAGACGCGGCCATCTTGCCGCTCGAGAGTCTTAAACTAACGGGATCGATGAGGTTGCGTTATCCCGACATCTACTGGAAATATCATGAAACTCGTAACGCGGGTACAACATACGTCTTAAAGTTAATGCATTTTCTTTCTTTTCTTATTCTTTTCTTTTCTTTTTTTTTTTTTATCTATATATATATTTGACGGAACAATATATATAATTAACGAATACAACGAAAAATATCTATGTGCCGAAATGTTTCATTATTTTTATTATCGTTATTTTGAAAATCATTATCATGTTTTCAAAAGATAAAACGATATAAAGCAAATACTTATTTGCATTTTCATACCTGGTCATATATATTTATTGTTATGCCTTATGATAATATTCTCTAATATTAAACTAAATTCAAATTATTTTTATTTTTTTTTATCTATAGAAGATATCTTTTAAATTGCAGGATAAAGAATTAAATGCCCGCAAAAGACCAAACAACGGATATGAATTATATATATTAGAATTGTTAAATTCTATTTTATTCATCTTCTATAAATAAATTGGGTTAATTTATAAAATAGAAAATAGTGTAGAAAAAAAAAAAAGGAAAAAAAAACGTTCCTGTTTATGCAATAATACGACGTACTAGGAACCAAACTCGTTAAAGCATGCAGCTTGCAAACCAAAACAGTTCCCAACTATTCTTGATATGGATATAGATAGTTGAACTACTGTGGACCAATTGCAAGGCTCGTTTCAATGGATGAAGATGTGGCGTGATCCTTGGTGACGTCACTTCGCCGCCTGCGATCGATAATTCCTCGTTTCTTTCGCCGAGAGAGGAATCCTTGTCACCGAAATAATATCGATACTGACTCGATGTAGCACCCACTTCACGGTATACTTATATATATATATATTTGCAAATTTATTATATATTTTTTCTTTTTTTTTTTTTTAAATAAAAAAAAAATTTGTAATAATATAATTGTAAAGTAACTATATTCAAAATCGTACGATGTTAACGAGTGCACTTTCGTTGTTAACTATGAGTCAGAGACTGAAACGCTTAAGTTTATTTTAGTATTCCGTTAAAGTAGTTCGTATCAAACATTCATTTTATCATCTAAGCTTCTTATGCGATTTTACCGACGGGCGTACTCGTTTAATATACTTCCATCAAATTCTACATTATTACAAAATGCGATCTATGTGTATTAACGTAAAACTTCCTATAATAACGAAATGCTCTCTCCTCATTCATCTAAAAAATAAGAAAATAATAAAAAAAAATAAAATAAAGAAGAAATTCCAACAAAAAAAACGAAAGATATCGGGGACGACGTATAACCGTGACTCTTGATGATTGAGGTTAGATTTTGCAGAAGATGCGGCACAAGTGTCTAAACTTTATTAAAACCAACAACAGTAACAATAGCAACAATAACAGCAGCAGCAACAGTAGTAACAACAACAACAACAACAACAACAACAACAACAACGACGACGACGACGATGACGAGAACAACAAAATCGTTCCTTTTTCAATCGGTTCGTAGAGAGAGTTGCGTATTGTTTTCTTTTTTCTTTTTATTTACACATTCAAAAAAAAAAAAAAAAAAAGGAACACACTTGTCGCCGCCATACGTGTGAATCCACGACACCATAGTAATCGAATTTACACATTTGCATGGTAACCTTTATCACATGCCGAACGAATAATATCCTGGAAACCTACGACATTAGTAAGACGAAAATACAAATGGATGATGGCACACCCAGGATAAAAACAAACACATCACCCACCATAAATATCATCATACCATATACATACATATTCATATGCATTTGAGATCTTTCTCACGACGCTGCTACAATTGCTAAAAGCAGTGCAAGGAGGCAAGCGAGTAAAACCATGGAATATTCTGTTATAGTTATAGTAATGATGTTAGTTACATAAGGAACACGTATTTCGATCGGTCGTGCGAGATGATAATTCTCGTCATAATTTTTCAAATCAACATCCCATACATTCTTCTCACCTTCGCGAACCGCAATACGCCTGTCGTCATCTTGCGTTTCTATTGGCTCCAACATCTCGCATTTTTGTTCTTCATTTTTTTCTGTTCCTTCTTTCTGTCCTACGTCAGACTTAGAAATAACATCTTTCTTCTCTACGATAAATAATTTAAGTCTCTCCTCGTCTTTTTCATTAACCTTATCTTCGACTTCGACGGTCAAACAATTTTCACTCAGTTTTGTTAATTGAACTCCGAATTCTTCAATTTCTTGTACATTCCCATTCAAACTAGCTGCGGCTATTTGTAGATCTTCCACGGCTTTGTTAAGATCGATCTCTATGTCCGATTGACGTCGAACATTATTTTCTTTAAGGTTAGGAACATCAAGCTTCTCTACGGATACGTCGGATTCAATGCTTTTTTTAACAAGATCTTCGCTATTCGAGGACGTTGACATCTCATCCAATGTCTTTTCATCTACATCGACCAAAAATGATGACGAATGTGTGCTAGTTTCACGTGTATTGTCGCTGTCGGTTTTAAGACGGCTCGATGAATCATCTCCAACGTCAATGCCATCGCGTAGATGGTCAGCCACGCTGCTAAAGGCCTCCGCAATCATCTTCACGTTCTCGTTTGCCAAACGAAGATAATAATCGAGCTTATCATCTTCAGTTTCTATAGTATTTTCTTCGTCTAGATTTAAATCAATGGATTCCTTAATTTCATTGGTTTTCTTTATTTCAGATTTTTCATTGAAATGTTCTTGAACCGTACCATCAAGAAGTTCATTGCGTAATTCTGTAATTAAAGGTTCAATCTCAACTTTACTTTCACGAACAGAGCTTTTAGGTTCAATTAGTACATCCTGTTCGTTGGTTTTTATTTCTGAATCATCGGATTCTTTGATTATATTTACCAAGTCTTGGCACAAACGACTGTACGCAGTGAAATCTGAATCCGTATTATCTTTACCAATTAAAGAATCATCACGAGTGGGTTTCCAAGAATCTGGAGTAATGTCAACAGACGAAGTCCGTCTGGTAGCACTGAGAAAAGTGGACGTTGGCGTTTCTTCGCGATTATTAGAATTTTTATTCGACCATTGCATCGTCGTTGACGGCGAGACATAAACTCGAAGCATTTTCCTACAGAGACCGGAATCATGATGATTTCCATTTATGTCAAAAGTATTCTTTGTATACCTTTCTCCGCGCCATCTTACACTACCTTGATCGGATAATTCGCCATCACTGACAACACGCCTAAAATGATTTATCTTATCTACGAATTTACGATTATTATCTATATTCTCGATATCATCCTTGATCTCACGAAGGCTTGGCTGTCTGTGCAAATGTATACGTTCTTGATTTATTAGCCCATAAAGATTAGCGGAAAGAGACCTAACAGCTCTTTTTTTCTTAGCAGGAAATTCATTAACAGATTCATTAATACCTTCTGTTTGATTATCTACGTTAATCTTTGCTGATGTTGTCGTGGCATCCTTTCTAAGTGTCCTAAAAGCTAAATCATCGGTAATAACGTCAGGTTCGCATTGTGGTATATACGGTGAACGAGGTGGATTAGACTTATTTGGCACTGTGTGCAGATAGTCGCTCTCCGTAGCAGTGGTCACTGGTCCAAGTGGTATACCAAAAGGTGGTTGAGGTTCAATCACTTTAAGTGTATTATTGGCACGATGTATACTACGAAAGACAACGTCGTCTCTCGTTACATCCGGTTCGTCACGACGAGTTATACCAATAGGTGACTTAGTTTCAAACATATTGTCCCTACGTGAAAGCACAGGTGAAGCGATAAGATAACTAATGTTTGAAAACGATGATTGTCCAATAATATCCGACAAAGAAGTTGGTCGTTCAACAGGATGCATTCTTCTATAGGCCATATCATCTTTCAATCTATCAGGTGAATCCGGACGAGTAGGTTTTACTTGTTCATCTTCAGGTTGTCCATGTTTAAGACTAAATTCCTCCATGCTTCTTCTTTCAGCACGATCTAACAAATCCTCGTCTCCAAGTCGTAAACTATTATATATGGCTTCCAATTCAGAAATCGCTTCTTCAAGATTCTTCGACGATTGTTTCCTCTCTAAAGCTGCCTCATCCATTTTCGTTGTTTCGTTCTTTTTTTCTTCAGAATTCATTTCATTCCCATTGTTATTTCTAAAAACATACGAACGTTCGCTAGACGATTGAGTATTACGCGCTGAGATTCTTCCATATATACCATTTGTTTCACAGTTCATTGATAATTGGATCTGTTTTACTCCTTCATCGTGTTCATTAACATTCGAGTTAAGTTGATTATTACGATTGTTCTTTCTTCTACACTTTGAAGCTTCATCCATTTGAAGAAATCGACGCGAATTATGTTCAATCTCGTTCGAACGGTTACACATTGACGTGTATTTATTATTTGTATATTCTCGTGGACGAATATTGATCTTATTGGATTCTAAAAGAAACATATTTTCTGAATCACGTTGTGTAATATTTTTACTACGTGTAATTTCTTCATTCGAACTATAAGCTCGTGTACCAATCCAATCGAGTTTCTTATCCATATTTATATTTGTATATTCATCGAAAAGCTTTTTCTTTTGACTTCTACCATTAAAAGGAAAAGAATGGCACGCATAGGTAGGAACACGACGAGGATCACGAGGTGGAGGATCTGGTGGATTAGATGATCTTGTCATCGATCTTCGTTCAATCGCGTGATCTTTCACTGACGCCAACGTGAAATCATTATTCGAATCCTGTTCTATCCAACGACCAGGAGCATTTTTTTCATAAAAATTATTTTGATTCATATCTGTTAAATGTCTGTGAGTAGAATATTCAGTTTTATTACCGTACGACCAATTTTCAGAACAACCTGTATCTATATTGATATTTTGAGTGTTTAACATAATAGGCTTGTGTGTTGTAGCAATTTGATCATTAGATTGTATAGTTGATCGTCGTGAATGTATTATTTGACGTTGTATATCACTTAAATTTGCGATAACACGTTGTCCTTCGTCTAAACATTCCAAACTATCTTCTTTACAATTTATTTGATTAGGATCATCTATGTGCACTTCTTCTTTAAACAAACGTTTGATATAACGTTCCGTTCTAGCAGCTCGAGTACGTCTATTGTAAGAATTCGTTTTACATATGCTCTGCGAATGATCCTCTAATTGAGATTTAGCCAATGAATTATTTGAAATACGTGAATCCTCGTCAGAACTACTATTAGGACATAATCGATCTCTTTTAGCCTCTACGCGTGCCTTCATTTTATTTTTCCGTATTTTCCTACCCAAACCTTCTAACGAACCATCGCTACTACGCGAATGTACAGAATCTATATGAACGTTAAGAGATTCCATGGATTGTTCATTAGTATCAGTTATTAAATTATTAGATTCTGTTTGACAATTATTTTTCACCGGATGAAGTACAATACCATCTGATTGCTTATTGATTTTAGGAGGTTTCTTGGGTTCTCTTTTACAATAAACAATTTCTTCTTCGTTAGAAGAACTGTCATCATCTCGCATAGAAGATATACGCTTAAATATTCCTCCAATAGACCACTTTTTTTCTTTTTTTTTATAAGATGTTGAGGTTACAGCATTGCACACTGGCAAACGACGAGTCGGTGGTAAAAGGCCATCTATTCTAAGGATATCTTTTCCTCTTATTCTCCTTTTCTCCGTAAAGCAATTATTAGACTCCATTTTATATTATTACACCTATAACAAATCCGAGATCTAATCCCTTAATTTTAAGTAGACATATACATATACATATACATATACATATACATATACATATACATATATATATATATATTATGTATAATATAAAATGAATCAATATTACTAACCTTTATACAGATATAAACTATAAACAATTTCTTTGAAGTAAAAGATCGAGCGTTCTACACAGTTGTCAGAGAATAGTAAATAACCTTTGAAGGCCATGTACAATCATTGGTAGTTAGCAACGAATCGACACGTAAACTGAAAGTATAAAGAAATAACTGTAATGGACACTGTATAAAGAAGTATCAACGACAATGACACCAACTCACCTTTTACTTTACGAAACATTTTTATTTTACTTTTTTTTTTTTTTTCTTTTCTTTTCTTTTCTTTTCTTTTCTTTTTTACATACACAACGTTTATAATTCTCGAATGATGAAAATTGACGAACGTTTTATTTTCATATTGCACTGTACATTTCGTAAATCAAAACTTTCCTAAATATAAATTTCGATGATGCAGATCTTAAAGAAGTTTTAACGACCTCGAAATTGTATTTCGTCATTCCTTTCGAAACGACGATTATTTCTTTAACACTTATTATTATTTGACACTAACAATAGTTATAATTATAAGTACGGAACAAAAGCTGCGTCCAACGAAGTTGTCTGATGCGACGACCATAAAAAGTACGCTAAAACCGACTCGATTCGCTAACTAAAAGAAAGGAGTGGGGGAGGATTCGTTATCAAGACCCCACCCATAGAAATTTTTTTTCCTAACTTTCGCGCAGAATCACGCGTGGGTGATCATACGTCACGGCTTTGCACGCGTCTTTCTAAGTAAGACGATATAAAAAGACGGAATTTCTTCTTTTCTTTTATCTTTTTTTTTTTTTTTTTTTTTCTCGTAAAAATATTTCTCAGAGCTCATATTTACATGGACGTTTGGAATCGATGTTAGATATTTTGACGCTCTCTAACGACAGAGTGTCAGAAAGCTGAACTAAGATGTATTATTATTGTATTGTACCTGGTTAATTAATATTAGCATTATTTTTGAAATAGAATCCGAATAAAAGGATTTTTGATAATTTTTATGATTCTAAGAGTGACGAAACGAATTATGCGAATGAAAGATTAATTCGATATCGTGTAAAAGTAATTTTATGTATAAACTGTGGATTTTTTCTTCTTTTTTTTTTTTTGCAATAAAAATATGGCTGAAGCAAATATAATGGTTCTTAAAGGTGGTAAAGATCATAATTTGGAAGAAAAGCAAAGGATTATTGATAGAGCTCCTTTTCAAAATTTAAAGATCGATGATGCACAAATTTTAGATACTGTAGAGGGTAGAGAAATATGTGAACATTGTTATAGGTCGAGAAAATTTTTTTGTTATACATGCTTTATCCCTGTAATTGATCAAAAGTATTTTCCTCGCTTAAAGGTATCTTTGAGATATTGTTTATACGTTATATATGAAATATGTGATAAATAATATAGACTATAACATTTGATTATTTTTAAAGCTACCTGTAAAAATAGATATTATTAAACATCCTAGAGAAATAGAAGGGAAAAGTACTGCGGTTCATGCTGCCGTTTTAGCACCGGAAGATGTAAAAATATATATTTATCCTGATTTTCCTGAAATGGTAAAAAACGAAGAGGTATGAGAATATTAGCATTGTAATTCATTGTTGATCATTACATTTTTTACACATATAAATGACATTATCCCTCAGACTGTTCTCATTTTCCCTAGCAAAACTGCTGTAACTATCGATAATTTATTTATTAAAGAAGTCCAACAAGATGGCAAAACTTTTTTAGAAAGGATCAGAAATGAATATCCAATAAAAAGAGCAATATTTATCGATAGTACATGGCATCAAACAAAATCAATATATAAAGATCAAAGATTAAGAGGTCTGTATACATCTAATATGGTACTAAAATCTTTTAACTTAATTTTATGCTGAAACAAAATATTGATTTACAGATTTACGATGTATCATATTAAAATCAAGAATATCGCAATTCTGGCGACACCAGAAAAAAAGTCCAAGATGGTATTTGGCAACGATAGAAGCAATTCATCAATTTTTAATAGAATTGCATACATGTGCCTTTGATATAATAGAATGTACATATAGAGAAGAGGATAAAGAGAAAGAAGATAATTTAACTATTGGAGAATTAAATTACAATGTATCAAATTGTAATCAAAAGTATGATGGCAGATATGACAATCTATTATACTTTTTTAAATATATGTATGAAAAGATTCATACTATATATGATCATGACAAATTATGGGCATATAAGAGGCCTCTAATATAAAACATACATATATATATACATATTTATATGTATATATAATAAATTATTCTTTTATAACAATCTGAATATTTATATGATTCTTTACTTTTGAAAATAAATTGAAAATTTTAATTAATTGTTCAATATTTGCGATATAATTTATTAAACCATTAATAGGTATCTCCAAGCGTTCGTTTCATAAGAGAATGATTCATGCTTAGTAACTGTGTTAACTACCGATTTTTGTTATTTACGTTTATGGTCATTCACAATGATGATAAAATTAAAAATATCAAAAGATTTATTATTTTTCTCTTTGATTATAGCGACTCTTAGTGGCTATGTTGTAAACTAAATACTACCTTATCAAAGGTTAAATTACATAAAAGTTGGACTTAGAATAATTTTCTTTCAGTGTGCGTCGATTGTTTAATGTCAACAAGAAGAAGAAATTTGAAGGACTATGTGATTTACTACGTCAGTTTCCTTTCGTACTCCGAAGGGTAAACATCGAAATAAACTTTTTCCGTACCGCTACATTTAATAATCTTATAGATACAAACATTTTATAATTATTTAAATAATCCACAATGCACTCGGAGTAGGATGAGATAATAATTAAATAATATCACATTCTGTAAAGCATCGTCGCAGAACTCTTGAGACACCTTTGAAAAGTAAGATTTCAATATGATAACAAATTTAAAAAATCATTGGCATAAATTATTTGAATTTTAGATTTTTAATAATCTTCTTGTTATAAATTCTTCTTTTTACAAAATAAACATAATAATATGTACATTTGTACGTACGATATGAAAATATATCTGTTTGTTCAATTCGCATATGCCCATTACAATACAACAAAATATCCAATTACAAAAATATGATATATTATATAAATGTATGCACTATGATATGACATGTATAAACTACTTGGGAAGTAATTATATTTCAAATAGCATTACAAGAATTTTCAAATTTAAGAAGTTATTGTGGTATTACAATCTTGTTTTGAAGTAAAAGATGTTGAACCTCTTGATTTGAAAATTATATCTGCTTTAATATTATCTTGGAAAGTGCATTCCTGCAATGAAATTTCGTTTACATTTTTTAATAATTCAATACTACCACTTTTACTCTCGGTGTCATTTAAATATTTCTGTGTTTCCATACGAATAGCATATTCTTTGAAATATCCAAGAGTACATTTCTTTGCTATTAAAGAAGCACCATCGTGTAACTGAAAAAAAAAAAAAAAAAAAATATATATATATATATATATATATATATATATATATAATTCACATTAATTACAACAAATTTATTTTATTATGTGAGCCATCTATATCTATCTAAATAATTATTTTACCTGGACACCCTCTATACAATTTTTGAAGCTGCATTCGTTCATAACAACTTCACCTGTTCCATAAATAACAATAGCAGTTCCTAATCCATCAAAAATTATCTTTTCCATTATTAATTTTGCACCTGGTAAGATTACTATGCCTAATTTAACTATGCTTTGATTCAAGGCAAATATCGTGCAACCAATCATTTTTACAGATCCTTTTCTAACAATGATACCAGCCTGAAGTTCACCAAGGTTTATAGATATGTCTTCTAATAGAACCTATAAGAGAGTAGTAGAATTTGTTAGAATACGTTTATACTTATAAAATAATTTGTTTATTTGTTAGAATATATATTATATAATATCTCTAACTTCTTGTCCAGAAAAATCTAGTAAAGATGGTGGGCTTTCTATGTCATTTGCAGAAAGTATTATATGTTCCGCCCTGCCAATTCCTTTGATAGTGCCACCTTCCTCCAGAGCACCGGAGCCTCTAATTTGATGTAGTCCCTCTCCAAGAAAAACAATTTCACCAACGTCAGCAACAAGCAAAGCTTCTTGCAGGCATCTATACATTCTATAACAAAACGTATATTATAACATTATCTTCAGTTTGTATATACAGTAATTTTCTTTTACTTACTGTAGAAATAAACTTGGTGATATGATAGTTTCAATTTTATTTACAGCATTCTTTATTTCTGTTAAAGTACCACCGAGCCATACAAAATGAGCTTCCTTTTGCTTATCACTATTCCCATGCTTTCTTGTTTGTTCTTGTACCATAATAGAGTTATGATTTCGTGAGAGAATATCTCTAATTGCAGGATTTTCAAGTACCTCCATTTCTGTTTTAATTTGTTGCAATCGAAAATGAAGTTTCATCAACTGACAAGCTTTACCATCATCCATTAAACAATTCTCAACTTCCTCTTCATCGGACATTGATTCTTCTAATCTTGAAATTTTTTGCTGGATTTCTCTTCCTTCCCTTATCAATGTTCTGATCACGTCGCAAGTTTCTTTATTGACGCATCCCCGTTTCATATCAAAGAATAATCTAATTCTGGATTCTAGATGCAAAGTCACCCAATCTGAATTTTCATCATCATCAAGGTCCCATGGCATCCATAAATAATTATAAAAAAATCTCACTTGATCTATACAACTGGCAGTGCCAACCATGTCTAAAGTCCTATTCTCTTGTTTTTGAGTTGGATATAATTCTATCAAAGGTACATCATATTTTTCAGGCAAATGAATGTCATCTTGTACAGCTGTGATTTTGACTAATGCAAAGAGATCATTGAAATCAACTTGTTCTGCCTCGACGACGACAATAGTAGGATAATGAATTTTTAAATCTTGACAAGTCATACGAGGAATTTTCCACAATGCTTGCCATCCAACTGGTTCTATTACAAGTTCAACATAATTTAACCATTCTGATTTAATTTGTGATGCCGATACTATTTTGTTTTGGCTAGATAATATTTCACTGAATTCTACTAGCCTTTCTTGAAGACTTTTATCAAATGTATATATTTCCATAGTTTCTATCTTCTCTGAAAAGCAATTTACAGATATTCATATAAATATCTAATATATATCACCGTGTATATTGTACTCACATTATTTAAACACTTTCTCACAAGTAATCAGACGAAAATAATATTACTAAACACAGTGAAATGATAATTAGTATGAGAGGTGAAATAAAGCGAAGAAGAATTGCCGGTATGAGAAACGACTTTTTTATATAAAATTTTCCCGCCTTTTTTTGTAGAATATTATCGAAATAACCTTTCTATACTATGATTCTTCATTTTCATACGATTAATGTTTACATTGTTTGTAAATATTAATTATTTCATAAATTAATATTAAAGATTCTTACCTGTTAAATTAATATATCAGAAATGGATGAGCAATTTTCAAAAATTACATAGCAGCCATTTTGATTTGACAATCGTTCAGATGCGGTGTTGTTAATCGTTGCTATGAGAAAGTTTGTGACAGTATCAACACTGTTAACATTTAAAGGTTACGATTAAATACATTTACATTGGGTATATAAAAAAAATATTTAAGTGTTTTATTCGTTAAAAATATATAAACTATGGCTGACGAAATAATTGGTTCGTCTTTATTATCGTTACATCTCATAAGCGTACGCACATCGTATAATTAATATGAAAGAAGTAGTATTTCATCTCATAATTCGTTTTACGTAGTATCAATAAAAAAGATTCACTGGAGGATTTAATTATTTGATAATGTTTTTTATTTTGTTATTCAGCGGATAATTGTTTAGAAATAAATACAGGAAAGAATCTTGCCGAAATTCCAAAAGATGCAAATGATAGATTGTTCGATGAAATTATTGGCCACATAGAAGATCTTTTACTAGGTATATTTGATATTCGAAAAAAAAAAGAAAAGTTTATTATTCCTTATTTATTTTGCTTTTATAGAAGATGGTTTTCATGCCATTCAGGAAGAATTTTTAGAAAAATATTGGACCATTTTTGAGCCAACTGAAGAGAATAAATTAATTTATACAGAAATATTTAATGAATATGTAAGTTTCAACTTTCATTTTTAACTTTATTATCCAAATTTTTTGTGTCTTGAAAATATAATGTTTTGTTTTTATTTTCTTATTTTTTTTTTTTTTTTCAGAATAAAACTGTGGAAACTTATATTGTTAATTATTTGCAAAAAATTATTCCACATTTTAATATGAATGTTTTTCTTCATTATTTGAGGTAAATATAGTGCTAATCTTGTGTAAAACATTTTTAAAAAGTTATAAATTCAATATATCATTTTTGTTCAGTGAAAAACAAGCAGAATTAGATGGCGAAGTTTTTGAAGTATTATCTGCAGTTACAGACTTTCTAGCATTTAAAGAAATGCTTCTTGACTATCGAGCTGTAAGTTACTTAAAGTTTTAGTATCTTTGTTTTTTTATATATATATATATATATATATATATATATATATATATATATATATATATGTATATATACATACATGTAAATATTTATAGATGAAAGAAGGAAAAGTTCAAGATCTTAGTTCAGGAATATCCATAACGTCTGTAAAAAATCCTATCACTGATTTTGATTTAAGATAAGAATAACTTTTTACAAATATTTACTTTTGTGAACAATTAATTAGTATTTATGAAATAAAAGTATTTATCAAAAATCATATTTATTATAATGCAAAAGTTTCCAGATATAGCAAGATAATTCAAACGCGTTTTACTGATCTGATTTTTCTAAACTCCATTGAAATATTTTACAGATATAAAAATGAAAATAATGACGTAATTTTTTTTTCTTTTTTTATGATTCTTTGATATAAGATAGCAAAAATTATTGGAGTTCGTATTTTAAGGAATGGTATCTTGATAGATAGAATCTTCATTTAGTGCATAAGAATTTCCATTTGTACAAGTTTGCTATTTGTTTCGTTCGGCATACGATATGGTAATGTCCCTGCAAAACTCGTCAATGCCCTCGCTTGATGTCGAAGATCACGATATTGTTGTTCTCTCGCTATTTCATCACCTGGTTCCATAGATCGTAATTTTTGATATTGACGATATAGTATCGTCATAGTAGCTAAAAGAACATCAGTTAGAGTACCAGCTACTTCTGGTGATACTCGACGTAATGCTGTTACTCTTTCGTCGACATCTTTTACATGTAATGGCAACATTTCTGATTCGGCAATAGTCTGAAATTTAATTATTTATTAATAATAGAAAGAATTTTTTTTTTTATTGAAAATATCTATATTATACTCAACTTACTCTAAGAGCACTCTGGCATTGATCATTGTGATATTGATCAAAAAATACCATAAGATGTCGTAAAGTATAAAACGAAGCAACCAATTCGGCTGGTGCTTGTATAGCAATGCCTTGATACCTAACAAATTTTATATCCATTTAGTTTTTTTTTTTTTATATATAAATAAATGAAATAATTATTTTATAAAATTTATTACCTTGAGTTTATGTCGTTAGCAGTAGTTTGCAATCGACTCCTTAATGATCCAGGTGTTCCTTTTTGACTTACCACTTGTGCCAAAAGTGTACACATTAAACTGAGAACTTTTTCATGAGTACCAGCAAGATCATACATCGTGACTGCATCCTCTAGAAGACCTTTTCTATATAATGTTTCTGCACATATATTTATTACGTCATCTGTATTTACTTGGAATTGGTCTAGAATTCCTGGTAATCTTCTATCTTTTTCTATTTTGCCGACAAGGATATCTCGATTTTCAGGTGAAGCATCTACAACCATTCCTGCAGCTGATGCAGCAAACATATTTCTATCGTAGGGATCTTTCATACATCTGAAATTTCAAGATCACGATTAGAAAAAAATTTCTCTAATTTTAAATAAATTTTCTACGCATAAAGATATACCTTAATAAAAAGAGATAGTGCAGACTTTCCTTTGGATCTGAAGATTCGAATCTCTTTACATATAGCAATATTAGCCTTGCAAAATTTAATCTTTTAGCAGGTGGTTTATCAGAAGGATCAACACTTATCAATGGAGCTAGAACACTTTGACTAACAGACAATAGATTATGTTCATGCATAGCAGCTGCCAGGTGCACAGCATGAGCCAAATGACGAGCACCTGCACCTCTAGCCAAAAATTCAATTGCTGCTTCAAATTGACCAGTCAGAAAAAGCATGGAAAAGTATAAAAATGGTTGTTCATGTGCATGGTAGTAAGATTCACCTAGAATATTTTAAGAAAATGATATAATTGTTTTATAAATATATTAATAAAAATTAGGTCAAGTAACATACCATATATTTCTGAGATTGTAGTTTGAAGATAATCCAAAGTTAATTTATTTTCAATGTCAGATTGATCTCTCACTTGGCACAATTTTAACCACAAATAATCATCTGCTGTTGCTATTACTTCAGAATGCAAGTCATCTGGCTCACATGGAACTAATGCGCTATGTGCTGCTCTCTTGTAAGGATCTGTTGCAGACCTTATATGCTTTTTATAATGTAATTTTAATACTGACTCTGCACGATTACCAGGATAACGTTGAGGATCATTACATGCTTCTTCCAAAGCAATTCTAAATTCTAAGAAATCTGCATTGCATTGTTTCAAACATTGCAAAGCAGCTTTAAAATCTCCACATCTCATACAGAAATAAACTAATGGCCATAATGGCTTATCACCCAACTTCACATCTTCTAAATCTCTTAAATTTTGTACTTTAATGCCAACGAAGCTTTTTACTAAAGGTACAGTCCCTGGAATACCACCTCTTTTAGCTTGAACCAAATTTTCATTTATGACAGAATTCATAAAATCTCTATATCGATTTTCAAGATAATTTCTTGCTAATGATACGATCTTCTGTTCAATAGCAGGACTGGTTCTTGATTTAATTTGATCTCCTCTTGGTGTTGGTGGAATATCTACCATAAACTTAACCATTTGCCATAAATCCGTAACTTTCTTGTCATTAAACGATTCACTTGCTTTGCAAAATATATTAAACAAATTGGGCCTTGTTGTACCACGAAGTACATGTTCATTGTAGTTTTGTAATTCTTTGGCATAAGCAACTTCAACATTAGAGAGACCACTAACCATTGATCCAGCTAATTTGGTACGTTGTGGAGTTCCTCTTAAATCTACTAATTCTCCTGATGGAGCTGTCATAGCATTTATTATTTCAAAACGCATTTGTTTCCATTCACCCAATATATGTTCCATCTGTTGAATTGTGGTAAGTTCAAATGTCTGAAATATCATAAAATAAATTTTACAATATATGTTAAACATACATATTTATATATATATATATATTTTTTACTATAAGACATTTTGACATTTACATCTTTATGAACTTCTTCGATAATAGAAAGAATTGCATTTTCTTTCTCATTTCTTAGATAGCTTACAATATCAGTATCTGCAATAGGATCTAATGGTTCAAATGTGCGTCTTGCACTGAGTGAACTTAACTTTTGAGATATTTGTGGTAGATCAACTCCCCGAGAACCTAATAACAAGTGACTGAAAAATAAATAAAATATTTTTTATGTTATATATCATTACAATTGTCATTCATTAATATCATAATGACTTACGCTTGAACCTGATTGTCCTGAGTACCGGTTTGTGTGACACGTGACCATAACTCGTTAGAAGCTTCTAATATTTGACGTAAATTTCTTTCGACTTGTGGAAGTTCTTCGCTACCTTCAACAGCAGCAGACAATTGTTCTGCTGATCTTAATAATTCACTGAAACCAGTATCTCCTGTAGCTCGCGAAGAATCTATAGTAGACATGTCGCTATTTGGTGGATCTACCATTTTTAAAGCGCGCTAAGAATATCATACTTTTCAATCCAATATGGTTGACCATGCTGACCAATCTAATAACAAATTATAAATTGAGATAAACATGTGTAGTCCTATATACACACATAGATATATATATATATATACACGCACATGCATACTTTTCATTTATATTATTATTTTATAATTAAATTATGAATTATTTAAAAATCTCATTTTAATATTTATTACGAAAAGGCTCGCTCTCAAATTGAATTTTTCGAATATTTAAAAATGTCATTAATACCCGCGATATCGTCGATCAATCAGATTTGAATATTTTTTTTTCAATTTCTTTAAGAAAAATTTTTTAAATAAAAATAAAAAAATATATATATTTTATATCTCCTATTTATATAACATACAGAAAATAAGTTCTTTTTTATAAAGAAGCGAATAAAATATTTATTTGTATGAACGTTCGTATTACCAATATGCCGGTCACGAGATTGAAACTACCTAGTCAAATTTACCATAAAGTTTATCATTATGCTTAAATTTGATTGATTTTGATTAGTCATTTGCAGACAAAAAAAAAAAGAAAAAAGAAAAAGAAAGAGAAAAGAAAAAACAGATAACATTGTTTATTGTAATAATATCACAGAAAATCGTATGAAAATAGAGAAAATTTATAATTCTTTAATATATTTGCCGGTATTCTTGAAATTTAGAAATTGTCATGTGCAATTTACTGTTATTTCGTATTAAGAGTTTTTGAAGTTATCTTGAATGAATGATGTATTCTTTAACGATACATGTCTACGTATAAAAATGGAAAGCCGGAATTTTGACAACAATAAAAATCACAAAGTTTTGCGACATTATGTTGCAAAGAAAAATTCTACTGTTACTTGCATGTCAAGACATTGTGATGTAAATGTAAGTACTTTACGTCTGGGAATGCTGGTAAAATGCCTGGAAGATTTAATGGATGGAACGCTCCTAATTTCTGTCACCGATGTGTCAGGATCAAAAGTTTGGTTTAACACAGAATGGTGCTGTCAAAAAACTGATCTCATTCCTGTGTCACAAGAAATTTGGAGATTTCTTCTTGCGGTTTCAGTACCACAAGAGAGAGTTCGCCTGGCCAATAATAAATCACTTTGTGGAATATTGGAAAATTTATCTGTAAATGATAAAGTATGGTATCACTCTAACCATAAAGTTAATGACCACAAGGAATTAGCTATTATTAAATATATTGGTCCTGTACCTAAGCTTGGTCAAGGATTTTATTTTGGTCTTGACATACCGGTAAATTGATCACAACAGCAATCACAAATTTATATGTTATTTGCTCCTTTATTGCTTCCATATTAAAATATAGAAATTATATAAACTATTTTAGGACAGTCAAGAATTATCTAAAACATCTATGCTATGTTCAGAATATTTTGAGTCAGCTCACTCAAATAGAACATTTGCAACATTGAATAAAATTTCTCTTTATAAAGTGGATGTTCCAAATAGAAATACAGAACAAAGTATATAATTGCATAATTTTGTTTTTGCTGTCATAGAAGATTGAATGATTTATCTACATATATTTTTTTCATTACAGTTTTAATACCAAAACCTATTACACAAAATGTCTCTACTAATTTGTCTGACAAAAAGAAATTTACTTTGGATCCAAATTTGTTAGATGTATTGGAAACATTTTCCCCAGACAGCAGTAAGAATAATAATAATAATTGTAATAGTACATCTTTACCAGATGAATATCATTATGCCATGAGATCATTAATTCCACAAAATACAAATAACAAATCAGGTAGTTATAATAATGTCAGAAATGTTTAACTTATTCTTTATTTTTTATTTAAATAGAAAACAATTCTTACCTAGTTCGGTTTTCCTTATATACCAAAGAGAGTTAATAATAGTTAACTGAGGTGTTTAAAAATAGCTTCAGAGTTAGTCTATCCTGAATGTACCGGCAAGTGTCTAATGTGTTGTGAATGTAATCTAAGTTTATTCAAAGAATGGCTACATTTCAAAATATTCCAATTTTTGTTTTAAATTATAAATGGAGCAGTGATATAGAATCAAGTGTATACAGTGAATTAGAAGAAACTTATGATCATGTAGAAAGATTCAATCACAGTAAGCAAGAATAATTGCATAAAATATATTTGATGTATTATGCTGCTGTGTTATCTTCTAGGTAATATGTCAGAAGAAAATGGAAACAAAAATTGTAGACGAGATAAATCTTCAGATTTAATTGTGGGTTCAAATGTTAAAGTACTTCTAGGCTCAGATTTAAGACATGGAACCCTTCGTTGGATTGGAACACGACCTGATACTAGTAAATTAATGGCAGCTGTTGAATTGGTAAATATGAAGAGAATATTATAGAAAATGAACATGTATGTTATATTAAATATAAAATTTTATATTATAAATAAAAATAAAATTATTATATATTTAGGATGAAGGACATCCATCAGGTACAGATGGTACTTACAAGGAAATAAGATATTTTCAATGTCAACCTTATAGAGCTGTTTTCACGGATATTGAGCAATGTTTTCCATATGAATCTGGAGTAGTGAGTATTATATATTATAAAAATATTGCTACACTTTTAATCACCTTTTTATAAATGCTATTTTTATGGATAGGTAAGAGTTGATGATCGATATCCTTCTATGAATACTAATAATTTTGGAAATATGGAAAATGTAATTACAGGAATGGTGAGACCTATTTCAGTCAAAGGAAATTTAGAGAGTATTTGTGGAAAATTCAGAGGAATACAAGGTCATCATAATTCATGTTATTTGGATGCTACTCTTTTCAGTATGTTTGCTTTCACTAGTGTATTTGACAATCTTTTATTCAGGTAACATAATGGAAACATATATAATTATTTATTATTTTAAAGGAAATAACATAAATTAAAAATATTTTATTACTTTTATCAAATATAGACCACCAAATGAAAAAGATTGTCATGAGTATGAAGAAGTTCAGAAAGTATTACGCGAAGAAATCGTTAATCCCCTTCGAAAAAATATATTTGTAAGTGCAGATCGTGTAATGAAATTAAGAACGTTACTTGAAAAATTGTCTTCTGTATCTGGTCTTACAAGTGAAGAAAAAGGTTCTTGTTCGAAAATTATTCTTATAAATTTTATCGTACTGGAATAATACTGAAATTACATTGGAATAATATTTATTATTATTATATAGATCCAGAAGAATTTTTAACATCATTGGTGGCACAAATCTTAAATGCTGAACCATTTCTCAAATTAAGTTCTGGTCAGGATGCATATCACTATCAACTTTTCGTTGAAAAGGACGATCATCTCAGTCTACCAACAGTACAACAACTATTAGAACAGAGCTTTTTCACAAGTAATATCAGATTGAAGGAAGTTCCTTCTTGCCTTATCATACAAATGCCACGATTTGGAAAATCATTTAAAATGTATCAAAAAATCCAACCAACTCTCTTGCTTGATGTGACAGATATAATTGAAGATTGTTAAGTATTGTTGTTAACAACAACCGTTATTTTTAATATATTAAATAAAATTAATTTATATAATAATAAATTTTCTTTTATACAGCTCCTAGACAGTGCACAGTATGTGGTAAATTAGCTGAATTTGAATGTAAAGAATGTTATGGAGAATGTGGAGAAGGTCTTGAAAGCATAGCCTTCTGTGTAGAATGCTTAAAAACAGTAATTTCAATATTCTCTAATATGATTTAATTTTAATATCATGGTATGTAAATTATTTTATTATCATTTAGGTACACCGTCATGAACATAGAACTAATCATGAACCAAAAAAACTTAGTGTACCAGTAGAATTTGCAATTTTACAAGAGCATTGTCCCGTACCTCGTTTATATTTAGAACTCTCAGCAGTCGTTTGTATTGAAACATCTCATTATGTTTCATTTGTAAAGTGTGGCTCTGGTTCAGAAGCACCATGGTGTTTTTTTGATTCTATGGCAGATAGAAAAGGTATAATTTATTTTTTTTGTCTACATATTTTATCCAAGATTTATGAATATCTATTGTTAGGTGAACAAGATGGATATAATATACCAGAGATGGTGCCATGTCCAGATTTTCCTTATTGGCTAAGTGAAGAAGGTGGCAATTATTTGATGAAATTAACAGACGATCGTAATTTACCGGAATATGCAAAACGACTTTTGTGTGATGCCTACATGTGTATGTACCAGTCACCGGATGTTATGATGTACAAATAATGTTGATATAACCTCATAATATTGGTAAATTATTTATAATTAATTTTTTAAATCGTAGACGTTTTTTTTTTTTTTTTTTTTTAATCAGTTATATGTGCACATGTAATATAATTATTTTCATATTTTTTTTATATTTTCGTCTTCAAAGTATATATTCTGCAGTCATTAGGACAGTCATTGTATTATAAAAAAATGTTAATATTTATGATGTCCTCCAATGGATTAAAGGAGTAATGAAAAAGAAAATTGATATAAATATATTTGAAGATTAATTGTAATATTTTTAAAGTCCGTAAAAATATTATTAGATGCAAATACGTTATTTTATATGAAGAAATAGTATTGCATATAAATAGTAAATTGTAATCATTGTATCGTAAAATATGATAGTGCACAAAATCTGAGGAAAATCTTAATTTTAATTTATTTTAATATTCAAAGTACTATTTATATCTTTTGATATACATATGTATATTACTATAGTAAATGTTTTTAACAAAAGAGTGTAGATTGTTCCAGCTATTATTTAAATAGAAATGCGACTACAAATGCGACTACAAATTTGTATTAAAGTCAACTGTCTTCTTATCTTAATAGAATTAATGTATTAGTTCTCGAGGTAAAATATAATTTATACATATATATATATACATATACATATATATATATATATGTGTGTAATTATTATATTATATTTTTTAGTTAAGTTATGAAAATTTTTCTATTACACCGTGGCGTTTTTAACAAATATGGTAATTTGTTTATTATGCTAATTACATACAAATAGATATATTTACAATAAATAAAGGCATTCATTGTATTGTATGCACTTATTTCAATTGTATTCTCGGAAATCGTACACAGTCTTCAATCCATTTAGCTACAATAAGCAGGCATTTTTCTTGTAAAGGTGGTGCCATTAATTGTAATGATAATGGCAATCCCTTTTTAGATAATTTTATTGGTATATTGACTGCTGGAATTCCTGCCATATTTGCTGGTTGCGTACAATAATCTTGAATTAAACACTGTCTCTGATTATCAAGTAATACAAATTCATCATAAATTGGAGCATCCGTTAGGGTAGTAGGTGTAAGTAATAAGTCAATATTACTGTCCCATACTTTGTTAAAATCTTGTGAAATTAATCTACGTAATTTCATTGCTTTTACATAATATTGTTCATAATTTTCTCGTAACAAAAAAAAATTTCCAGCAAATATACGACTCTTAACAACATCATTGAAACCTGTGGATCTTGTTTTTCTGTACAATTCAGTTAGCGAATTTTCTTCATCTGCACGATAACCATACCGAACACTATCATAACGTGCCATATTACTCGCTACAGTGCAACAATTTAATACCGAATAACACACTATAGAATAATCTGTATATGGAAGAGAAACTGGAATTACTTTAGCACCTGCTTCTTCTATTAGTGAAGCAACTTCATCCCAGCACTTCTGTATTTCTTTACTTATTCCATCAATTTTATATTCTTTTGGTATACCAACACATAAATTACTTATATCAATTTTCTCTGGTATTGAAAAGGGCTCATAATCTTTTTTTATAGTAGTAGAATCTGTATCATCCGGTCCTGCTATACTGTTTAGAACTAAAACAGCATCTTCCACATATCTGGTAAGAATACCAGGTACATCCATTGAATTTACCAAAGGTATAAGACCGTTTCTTGAAACTAATCCATAAGTTGGTTTTAATCCAATCAGACCGCAATAAGAAGCAGGATTACGAGTAGATCCTCCAGTATCAGATCCTATTGCTGCATAACAACTGTGAGTAGCTACTGCTACTGCAGAACCGCCGCTACTACCACCTACAAAAATATATGTTGTTCAATCTTTTCAATTAATAGAAAAAAAATGTTAAAGTATAAATACCTGCTATATGCCACTTATCTTTGTCGGCTAAGAGTTGTGTGTTTATCTCTGTACCATCTTCATATAAATAATGCTTAGATAATATTTCAGAACCCCATAGATTTATTGTTGGCCCATAATATGAATCAATAGTCCCTGAGCCCATAGCAAATTGGTCTAGATTAGTTTTACCAACCAGAACTGCACCAGCATTTCTAAGGCATTGATAGACGGTAGCATTATATCCAGGAATAAAATTTTCTAACATAAAAGACGCACAAGTCGTTGGCACTGCTTCCGTACAAAAATTATCTTTGATTGCAATAGGAACACCATCGAGATCACCCAAAATATGATTTTCTTTTTGTCTAATATCTGCATCCTTCGATTGTTCTTTTGCTACATTTTCAGTTACCGTGATATAAGGGTTCAGTGGTTTAATAAGCTTTGTAAGATCGATAGAAGCTTTGCAAACCTCAGATGGTCGTATATTGCCAGCATTTAATTTTTGTCTTATACCTTTTATTGATAAAGATAATAAATTTTTCATTTTTTAAGGTTAAGTTCAGCATTCATATAGCGCGTGCCGTGTGTCACTTTATAATAAAGAACTCAGAAATAAAAACAAAAATTAAAATAATTGGTAAGCCTTATAATTATTTTTATATACAACACATTCATTCTCTAATTACTTATTATATTACTCATTATACTTTTTCAATTACTTGTAAAATATAATACGTGAAAATAACTTGTAACATTTTTATAAGAATCTAACCTTATATTATTTTATTTCTTTACATTTCATTCGTTTTAGATTTTATAAGATTGATTTTAGACAATATAAACAATACAAACGTTGTATATAATAAATAAAAAATTATATTTATGCGCTTTCATTGTAAATAAATCAAAAGATATTATATTCATAAAACATATGAATTAATTACTATGATTTTAATGTTAACCCTGTTGCACAATACGCATTATTGTAGTATTTGTTTTTGTTCCAAAAAGAAGATAATGATACTGATCGTAATGAAATGGAATTACTGTTTGTAAACCATCTATTTTATGTACAATCTTTCTTTGGAATTTCTGAAAATAATCATCAAAAATACTTGCATGCATGTGTGTGTATATATATATATATAAACAATAAAACATATATGTAATATTTGTTGCTTACCCCAACAAACATATATTCATAAACATAAAATTGCCCATCTTCTGTAGTTATTATAACATAACCATCACTATTTCCAATCTCTAAAAACATAGAACAAATTGATAATTAAAATTATAACTAATTAAATTAGAAACAATGATTTAAATATTACCGCCAATATAGAAACTCTGAATCTCATTGATAGACGAATCATAGAAGAAACTTTGATAATGATAAAAATTATTAAATTTATAATCGTAATAATAAATATTTAAAGCATTCATATCGAGATCATTAATCATAATGAAATAATCATCATCGTTCAATAAACTCTTTACACAATTACTTTTTCCTGGAAATCTTCTTAACAAAACGAACTAAAAAAATAAAAAATTAAAATAATTATAAAATAAATCATTGTAAGTAATGTAATTTTAATACGTTCGTACCATAGAAGTAATAGAATCTAATTTATAAATTAATGAACCCATCTTCGTATTTCCATCGCAAGCTATAACAATATATACGTTATTATTTATTTGTAAAACTTCAAGAGCCGATGCACCGTTCGTACGAATCTCTTGATGCAAAGTTAGACTCTCATTTTTTAAATTTAATTTGTAAATAAATGAATTAGTATCGTGTGTCTTCATTGTAGGATCGTAATATATAGCCAAAGTTATATATACTTGATCTAAAAAATAATTGATTAATTTATTATATATATTAATATATTTTCTAAATAAATATTTACCATCGTGAGTGAAAGTTTTCGAATCTTTAAGGAAACCCTTGATTTCTATGTCTGAATATCTTTGCTTGATAAGATTGGCTGTTCCAAATTTTTCATTGGACATCCATGAAATCATAGTAAATTCTAAATCCGTTTCATTTCGAGTGCATTGAGCATTGTAGGAAACACTACTCGTTGTAATATCTATACCAAAAAGATTATTTGGTTCATGAAAATGTTTTACAATAGAAATATTGTTCCATTGCCAAACACGACAATCATTTTTCGTTAATTCAGCAACGTATTGCAATTGACATGAACAATTCTCTGGTAATCCACAAAAACTACCATTTTGTTCGCCATACATATTCAATTTTAGAATTGAGCCAAACATAATTACGTCGATCTTTTTAACGCTTGGTACTTCGATCTTTAAACGGTCTTCTTTTTCCAAATATGCAAAAACACTTGGTAAAGATTTTATAACAGAAGTTTCTTGTAAAATAGCATTTTCTATAAACATTTTACTTTTTTTCAAAGCAGATATATTATGATTTTGTAAATGATCTAAATCATCAAGTAAATCATTTATCTTTACACCATTTACTGTACCAGAAACGATTATGTTCTTTTGTATATCCAAATGTGATTGAAAGATCTAGAAAAAAAATACAATTTAATAAAAGTATCAAGAATTATATTAAATCTCAATTGAACTTACAAGATTTCCGGTGATTATCACATTTTCGTCGTTCAAAACACTGTTAGAAAATTCATCGTTTACATTAATACCATTTATCAATGGAACCTCGACATTAGCGTTCACTTTTACATCGTTTACATAAGTTTTTTTACCAGAAATAATTTGGGTTGTTTGTAATGAATTTATAACTAGATCAGATGTATCAATATTATTGATTTTCTTTACCATAGCATTTCCTAAACATTATTGATAAGAATAAGATGATACATTTTAATGTATTAATTGCAATAATATGATAATTTGATATATATGTGTACCTGTTACTTCAACTCGACCTTGAAATTGTATATCAGAAGATATAACATGATCTTTGCTAAGTGTTACACGATTTTTTACGAATTCATTAAAATCAACGTCATCAATTGTCTTCACAAAAACATCTCCCATAACAACGAGATTTTTGATATATGTATTATTTGGTAATGTTTGATCAAAAAAGACCAAATCAGTAATCGATGTATCGTGAAGAGTATCGTTTAAAACGAGATTATTGATTTTGACTTCGTTTAAAAAATAAATCGGTCCTAATATAATATCTTCTTCATATTTATTAACAACCGAGGCATTTAATTCAATAATATTTATTCCATTAATCATTACTATATCGATCACGTCTTGTGTCTTCAAAGTATTTATCGTTAAATTATTTTGGAAAATTTTTTGTCCGCTCAAAACAATTTCCTTCGAATTTTTAAATACAGTATCTTCTACGATATTTTTAATATCGTCTATACCTTCAATGTCTCCTGTGAAGAACGAAGTACGCAAATTTTTTGTGAAAGTTACATTACCCACAATTTCTTGCGGTATATCTTTCCTAAGTGCTTTCTCGAATAAATGTGATAAAGATTCAGTGGAACGATTAGAATTTTCCCATGAAATATGTCCATTCACGCTCAAATTATATATATTTGTAGAATTTAAATAAATGGGGCTTTGGTATAACTGAAAATATCGAAGAAGATACTTAGAAACTACTTTTTGTTTTTAGAGATAATTTATATTATTTTATTACCTGTTGAATGTCATAACCATTCAAGCTTCCTACGCTAATATCATTATCGACGAAGAGATCATTAAATGTTACATTTCCTTCAAAAATAAGAGGTTCATCTATCCACATCAATTTTGAAGAATTAATTCCATTAACATAATTAGCATCTACATTATCTGCACGAATCGTGTAAAACGTAAATCCTTTAGGTATTTTTTGCGAACTTGTCTTTGAAAAAATATCCGAAGGAAGTGTATCGACTCTGAAACCCTCTAAAAAGTCCATCGTTATGTTCTGCACAATTAATTGTTCCATCATTCCTGTAGACAATGATATATTTTGCGATGCTACTTTTTTCAAATACATTTCAGTCGAATAATTAGCAATTCTAATCACTTCCAATTCCTCATTCAATACTAGATCATTATCAATAATGATTTCTTCTATGATATCAGCGATCGTTGCATTTTCCAATTCGATCAAATACGAGATATTGTTTCCATTAAAATTTTCAATGATGATTTCTTCAGCACGAAATTTCGGTGTTCTGATCGATTCTGTTTCGTTTACTTCTATCGGTATTTTTAAATAAGGAGAAACTACTCGATCATTGAGAAAATCAAGATTGAATTCACGTACAATTGCACGTTCCACTGAAATTGCAGGTAGATTAATGTCCTCCAATAATTTCAGATTTCCAGAATTGTTCAAAATTACGTCAACGGGTATATCGTTATAATTATTGGTCATCAAATGATGTAATTTTAATTTTTCGACACGTAAATCACCACGTATTATAATATGATCTTGATGAACGTCAAAGCTATTTAATTTTTTCTCGTTCACGTGATAGACATCGTTGATATGTAGATTTTTAAAATGAAGATTTGTGAAAATAGATGGTATCTTTTCGACTGTGGTATATAAAAATTCTTCCTCGGTAAAACCATTTAAATATTTAGTTTCCAATCGATCGATAGTTACACCGAAATCGAGTGAAATGTCGTTTCGAATTGTTTGATTAGTCGATTTTGTCCACATGTTATCGAATATCTCTCTTGGTTTGACTTCTAAATTATCCATAATTAATTTTCCATTTTCTTCAAAATCAAATCTCTTTACTACGATATCACCAGATATTATCACGTTATCATAGATTTGAGATGGTTGAATAATTGACATCTTTGCATCTGAATCCATAATGAACATTTCTGTCACTTCCATCTTATCTAATATCACTTCACCTATAAACATAATTTTTCTAATAAAAATCTAACTAATATTTTTTTATATATATGTACTCATTGAAATAAAAATCATAACAGGATACCATTGATAACATTTTCACGTGATTTCATAGCAAATTCAGATATGGGAATATCATTAATATATTCTACGTGAAGCGAATCAACTTCGAGGGTTTTTATAAATAATTCCTGAAAATTTTGATCGAACGCATTTGTCATCAGCAACGTAGATGGTACTCCATTGTACATTTTTGTTGTCAGATTTTTCACCTCTAAACGTTCGTATGTGATGTTGCCTAAAAAAAAGATTTATTACCATTCCAGAAATTAATTGAAAAAAAAAAAAAATTAAGAAAAAAAACAGAAAACCAATAAATTATACCTGTAATCGTTTGATTGCCACCTATAACGAATAGTTGATCCATCAATTGCTCTATATCAATATCATTGATCTTCTTTACTTTCAAATTAGGTATAGAAATATTCGAATAAACGAATATCTTATTATCATACAATTTTCTAGTGCTATCATTCTTACTTACTAATATCTTTTCGTCTTTATTTTCTACCGTTGCCCAATCTGCGATTTTGTAATGCAATTGTCATTAAAAGTAGCTCTTTACAAACTAATATTTTTCAGGATAGATATAAAAACGTATACCCACACTGATGTGGAATTCCGCAAAGAGAATTCACTTTGAGATCATGAACAGTGATATTTTCAACATATAGAGGCGATTCAAATTGTTGATCATCTTTTAAAGATATGAAATTGTTAGATCGATAACTAACGTTATTTAATTTATCGATGGATATCGTATCGATTACCATTTCTTTGAAAAATGCATCACCAGTTATATTGATCGCACCGTATAAATTATTCTTAGTGTTTGACCGTAAAATATTTAATGATCTTTTTGACAAACTTTCGATCTTTGATTCAAGATCATCTAAATTCTTTCGAAATTCAGATGGCGTTAATACTTCCTCTTCGACAAATAAATTGATCTTTTCTATTACACCCGATTTCAAAATGACACTTGGATATTCGAGCGTATCCAAAAGATTGGAATTATTCTTTGGCGAATATTTAGAGTGCAGGATGAAAGATTCAAATTTCTTAATGATCGACAATCTATTTTGCAATAGTCCAACGATTTCTGATAAATATTCAGAGGTTGTATCTGTGACTCTTTGTCTATTCCCTATAACATAATTTGATAGTTAATTAATTGAATTACTTGTGAAAGTCAACTTGCAATTCAATCTGATTTACCATGATAGGTTTCATTTTTAATATTTAAATCCCAAATCTCGATGAAATAAAAACCTTCGTAGCTTAATGTGGTTAATATTAAAGTTATAGTTTCATCACGAAGTAATGCTTGCATATCCACTATGTTCTTTTTATTATTTAATTTTCGAACATTTAGAGACACATAATTGGCCGTATTTAATAATTTAAATAATTCCACAACGTCCTAGAACATTGGAATTTATTAGAAAGCGATTAATGAATATTTTATTGTACAATAAAAATTTATTTGCACTTACATTATGAGCAACAATAAAATATGTGCCATCTTTTAAATATACTGTTTGTATTGAATAATATGTTTTAATCTCAGGAATATCGATCCATTTTAACAATTCCGTACCTAAAAATAAATCGAAGAAATTTTAATAAAAATCAGAAGAGACTGAATAAATTTTCTAATAAATTTGTAATACGAACCATCCCAGAAATATACACTGCTTACTTGCACTTTATTGATTATTAAAACGAAATGATAATTATTGCAAGAATAATGATGAACGGACATCGGTTTGTTCGTAGGCAAAAATTGTATTATATCGATAGTATTTTGTTTGAATTCGTAAACGGTAGAAGTGATCATTGAATTGAACTTAGAATTTTGAACAAATATTATAATGATCGATTGTTTATATTTAAACGTAGTGACCGATAGAGCATAAGTGGTCATTATGTTAGTGTAGATGTCCATATAAGTACCAGCCCAATAATAAATACTGTTTTTCATTATTGATAAAAATTAAATTGTATCGTTATAAAAAATATCGTTAAATATATTAAATATATTAATATATATATATATAAATAACATAATAATGATGAATCAAAAGTTTCTAAATGATTTTGAAAATCAATCAGATGTCTATTCTTTTTCGAAGTTTTTTTTAGCCCTACAGACTTGTATTAATTTAAAAAAAAAAAACAAAAAAAAAACAAAAAAAAACAACAACAAAAAAATTAGCTCAGAAAGTTTCGAGAAATTGATTTATAAATTAATATAAAAACTTTTGGCCCATCCTGTAAAATACTTACACGCTTATATCATCGACTAATATTAAATAAAGCTGATTAGCTTTGGTGAAGAAATGAGCATCCATTAATTTTAAACATCTAATATGTTGTCTATAAATTAAATTTCTAATGTTATTTCCTGTGTATAGAGTGCACCAACCGATGTCGTAACAAAGAAAAAGATAAAGAGTCGCTTTCCATTTAATTGTCTAGAAGATAAACGATTAATTATGATCTTGGAAAAGAATATTGAAATATTATGGCAGACGTAAGTAATGTGTATAAAACATACTTTAACAAACTTGATAAAATAATCCTGGCCGATAGAACTTTTTTCTTTAAGATTGAAAGCCTTGCTCGAAGTAGAAACGTTCATAAAAATGTCCATACTTCCATTAATATAGGCGAAAAATATTTGATTAAATGTATTTATTATTAATGGTGGATTCATATCCCATGCCATATCCCATGATTTTAACCAACTCACATTGTAATTGTTAACAAAAACTATAATCACATAAATCTATTGTATATATTTACGATTTTTGTTTTTTTCATTTTAAATTAAATATATATATATATATTAATTCACCTGTTTGGGACCCTTCGATATGATTTTTAGCTACATTAACTTTGACCTCTCTTAATTTTTCATTCAAATAATCATTCAAGTTTATGTTCGAACATATTCCTTGTTGAACGATCGATCCAAAGAGAATCGCGAAGAACTAAAAAAATATATTTTTGATGAAGCAAAATAATAATTTAAACATTTTATTTATTTCTGTTGGTTTTGAAAAAAATAACTTACAAAGTAATTCAATGTTCCCATAGTAATAAGGAAATATTGTAATAATCCTATCGATACATTTTATAATCTCTCGTAACGCGTTTATGACTGACTGAATTTCTATGATATTAGGAAAGATACAGAATTCTCAAATTTATTCCCTTATTTATGTCAATAGATATAGTATACGAGCAAATATGTTTGTGTGCAAAAAAAAAGCATAGAAGTTATTTCAATGATATTTGATAATGTATAGAAATCAAATTATAACCTATATATATAACGCGCGCGCGTTCTTACTTTTATTTGTTTGTTTTTTCTTTATCTATTTTTTATATTATTAGTAATAATTACTAATTATTATATTATATATATATATATATATGTATATATATATATATAGAAAAGAATCTCTGTAATGTAAGAGACGTTTATTTATTAAATATTCCATAACTTTTACATTATTCATAAATTTTCAAAGAATATGATTGTGTCGTATACCTGAAATTCTTAAAATTAGCTAAAAACTGTTGAAATTCTGGCGAGGAACTGATAATACATGTCCTTTCTTTTCTTTTCGACCAGAAATTTACAATTTTTAATTTATTAACATTAATTGTTCTACCGTTGTTATCATTGAAAACGTCATTTTGTTTATACAAATATGTTACCGACGAAGAAGAGTTCAATATGTATTTAGTCGATAAAGAAGTGAAAGTATTAAATATACTAACGATACATCTTTGAGAGAGTAAAGTTGATTGAAAATGAAGTGAACGGCTTAAATTAATATAATAAATTAATTGAGATATGTGTTCACATTGAAAAATATTAAATTCATTGTACGAATATGTAAACTTGTTTAGATCATATACATTGTTGTTATTATTGCAAATAACATTCTTGTGTTTTTCTAAATCTTTACTAATAATTTTTTGTTCATTTTGATTTTTTTCGAAAGAATAGGATAAAATATTTGATGATGATTTCATTGTTGAAAACCATTCTTGATTTGATTGCGTAGTACTCGACCATGTGTCATTACTTTCATAACATGTTGTTGATTCTCGATGTAAAGTAGTTGAGTTTGTATTAAATGATGATAGTGTGCAATAAAAAGGATATATTGGTACTTGAATGCCAATATTTGTCGTTGTTTTTTTATTGGAATTAAAATTAAGTTCTTTCTTGTTGTTTAGCCTGCAACACACATACATATACGCACACGCATACGTACACACATATATAAAAATAAACATGATCATTTATATAGTTTTACTTTTCGTGTATTAAATACATGACAAATAAATTTTACTAACGTGTTTATAAATTTCTCTGATTTTCTTCTTATATATTCTTCCAAACGTGTGGTAAATAAAATGAACCAAATAGATACGAAAATGACAACAAAAGTCGTTAATACTCTTGATTTTCTTATGGTACCCCATGATTTGTGACCTTGTTCGATAAAATGTGAAATACTAATTAAGGTACTGTCCTTTTTAATTGCAATTTCTTGTGTAGTTGCCCTTGTTGTTGTTGGATATACCTTGTCTTTGTCAAAATTACAAAATTAAAACTATTTGAAGCAGTTGTGCATTACAATGTATTCATTAAAATATAAATTGTATAGTGGATGGAGTAAAGAAAACCATATTTTTATTTTGTATGTCACCTTCAGAAAGTATCAATTCATTATTGTAATACAGATCATTTGCACAAAGTGCAATCCACAGTCCTATACCACAAAAAAGTAGTATACGCCATCGTACACGAATTAATATTTTTTTTAACATGTCCAATTATTTGTTTGGACATATTTCAAAGACATAAACACAATTAAAAGTTTCTATATAAAATTATATCACATTATATAATACTTGTCAAATTCGATAGATTATTTTCTTATAAAAAAAATACCAATTGTATGAATTTTGTTTTACGTATTAAAAAGTAATTTTGCACATTCAATTTAGTTTCGAAATATTATTAATTAAAAGAACTGTTTTCCCCTTCTGATAGATGATTTTATTTTTTAAAGGTTGAAAGGTAAAAAAAAAAAATGACATTCTACATCTTATTAGAATAAACAAGAGATTTCCATATTTATATCCTGAACACTCAGGCGATTAAAAATTGAACCATCAAATCAAAATTTTAAATGCTTTTAAATTAATGAAGAAACTTATAGAATGTGTAAGTCTCTTCTCGCAACACGTTTAACTGAACTTAATCAACAACTTGCAACAATTGTTAAATTACAAAAAATGGAAGATGAATATGACAAAAGTTCAGTCCTATATTCTAAGGTATATAAAATTTTGATACAACGTATAATAATATATCTAATATATCAACATTAATAATAATTTATCTAAGATTTGTGATTGTCCACATCATATATTACCCACTGGAGAAAATAAGAAAAAAATACCATGTAATATTAACACTTGCAAAACACGAAAAAGATGTACTTGCCTTGGTCAATGCAATAAAATAAGCAAATGTAAATTTTTTATTAATATAAATATTATAAATAAGTATTTACTTTTATTTATTAAATCATTTGCATAATAAAGAGTTAGTGTATAAGAAGGTTATATACTACTATTAATAATATTCAAAATTATTTTTACAATTATATCTTCTTCTTTCTCTTATAAATCATTAGCCTATAAAAATGATGAAAAAATTAAAGAAATCTCAAGTACACAATCATATGATGATAAAGCCGTAAAGAATAATGTACATAATACTGAAATTGGTAAATGAATTAAACGATATCTCATTAAGTAAATAAAATATTATAGACAATATTTATAATATTTAATTAAATGATTTTTATCAAAGGACAGATCTTTAATACAAGATTAGAAAATGTACAGGATTTAGAAAAAATAAAATCTACAAGAAAAGAAATTATACAAGAAAGAATTGACTATGATATATCTGTAACAAGAAATCATGATTATCAGAATACAAAACATGAAAATGAAATTATTCATAAAACAGATAAAACAGAAGATACTTCTATAAAGGTACCAGTGCAAGACAATGATAAAAGTAGAAAACCAGAAGAAATTATGATACTGCCTGATGACAATGATAAAGATGTTAATACAGAAGAAATTAAAATACTGCCGAATGATAATGTAAATGAAACAAATATAAGTTACAAAAGAATTAAAAAAATTGTCATTTATAGGGATAAAATTCTGAAATCTATAATTTTAGTTAAAGGATTATTTATAATCCAGGTTGATTTATCAGGATTTATCTAACGAAAAAAAACAGAAGAGAGATTTGGAGGAGAAGTTGCAAAATGCGAAGCAACATTTAACAAAGCTGAAAGAAAATGGAGAACAGCAAATATCTTACCTAAAAGATGCTTTACGAAAAGCTGAGGAGCAACTTGCACAAGCAAAAAAAGAAACTATTACAATTACTGCTGATAGAGACAGATTATTACAAACTGTATCAACACTAAAGGTAAGTATATCAAACTTGTAAGATGAAAAATTAAAGATTTATTTTCTTAGGAGGAAATAAATAATGTAATTGGCAAAAATGTGTCTTTACATCGCGAATGCCAGGATTTAAAATGTAAATTGCAAACAGCTTCTGAATGTGAAACGAAAACGTAATATACGAAATAATTATATTGTATGATTATCATTTTCTTATAAATATTACATTGGATATTATATTTTTACTTTTAAGTTGCACAGTTGTTCAAGATGAAGTTAATCTTATAAAATCTATAGTTAAACAAAAAGAAGAGGTTTTACAGGCAGAAATAATTGAATTAAAAGGATTGATTGCAGAACTTACAAATGTTACAAAAATACAAGAAAGAAGAATATGTGAATTAACTAACATTTGTAAAAAACAACAATGCGGTTTACGTGATAAAAGTAAAACGATTATTGAAAAGGTTAATAAATTATTTTACGTTCTAACAGATTTTAGATAAGTTTTACGTAAAATGCATTCTTTAGGAATCCAAAATATTCGAAATCCAATCACTACTAAAGTCATATAGTTGCAAATGCACAGGAATGCAAAATGATATTCAAAGTTTAGAATCTACTTTAAATAAAGAATCAAATACATGTAATAGTTTAAAAGAGGAGTTAGAACGTTTTAAGGATGATTATAATTGTATGTTAAATATTAAAACAAAAATTATAGAAGAACAAGATGAAACGATCAAAAAACAAAAACGAGTAAGCAATTAACTGCAATACTTATTCCAATTAATATTTGTGATTAATATAAAAAAAATATTGCAATTAATCACAGTATAAATAATCAAATAATCAACGTTAAAATAAAACATAATTTTTATAGACGTATTATATGTAACTGCGTTACATTTAATACTTTAATATATGTAGTACTTTTGACTAAAGTAGTATTACGTCACCTAAGGCGCGTAATTTTGAACGAATCGTATTATTTTTAATTAGATACTTTTAACTAAAAATTATATTTCAAATAATTTTCTCACAGTTATTGCAAGATAGCGAAAGTATGGCTCAACAAGCTGCTTCTGAATTTGAGGAAATTAGGAACGAACTTGTTCATGAAAAAGAAACATGTGAATCTTTAAGAATTGCATTAATTACTGCAGAAGTTCAATTAAATCAAAAATATAATGTGGAATGCAAGAAATGTCAAAATTTAATTGCAGAAGTGAATTTATTAGATCAACAAAAACAAAAAGCATTAATTGCAGCAAAAGAAGCTTTAAGAAAATTATGCATTTCTGTAAGAGATTACCAAAGGGAATTGGTCTTTGAAAGACAGCAATGTAAATTTCTAACATTAAAACTGAAGGAAAAGCAAGATGAAGTTGAATACATTAAAAAAGAATTTGCTTACAAAAAAAAAACAATTGTGCGCAGAACAAGTGACTTTTTATCTTAATAGATGCAGCTGAAGGTAGTAAAATTAACAGCAAATTTTATAATGTTTCACTATTCAATTTATTAAAAAGCAAATTAATATAATCAATGCTAAAAGTAACTAAAAATTTGTTATTATATCATTGCATATAACTATCTCTCTCCTTCATTAATTATAACTATATTCTATTGATAATACTTTTTACAAATATTCTAACACATTACTCTTCAAAATTTAAATTTGATATCAATTATTTATATATTAATTTAGATATTTTTACCCTCAATTCAAGGAATAAAAGATTAAAATTCTTTTTATACCATAAAATATTATAGTCAAAATGCAATCTCCAATTTTTGTCAAGAAAATATTTATAAAAGACAGACATGTCATCTGCTGTTAATGATGTTTTACCTTGTGCTTTCAATGTTTCTTGAAACTTATTGCGTTCCTGAATTAAAAAATATGTTAATAAAAATCTTATTGTTTTCTTAACATTTATGAGAAATATTCAGCAATTTTACTTGTACGAAACTCTTGTTATGTTTTGTCCAGAATGTTTGATTCCAAAGCTGGATATCCTGTCTAGCTTCTCTGTATTTTTTCTCCAATTTAGATTCATTATGTGATTTTTTAAAAATAATAGGTCTCAAATTCGAAACAGGATCTGGTTTTCCAATTTGATCAAAATTTACCTCATTTTGTGCCTTATTTATCGATGATTTCTAATGTAAAGCAAATAAATTGTGTGACAAAATAAATGTATTACACTTTATTATGTAAACAGCAAAGTACTTCAAATGCTTACTGAATAAAAAAGACGAATTGTTTTGACTGGATATTTTCTGAATAAGAAAGTACATCTATTACTCATTTTTTATATTATTTACACTTGAATACATGAGTTTTACAATTTCCGTAGAAATATACTAAAAAACATTAACACATGATAATTCATTATGTCTATAAAAATATTTTATTACGAATTCAAAATGGTGATTTCTTTGACAGTTCGTAATTTAAACTAATTAGCATGGAGTATTTATATATCGATTAAAAAACATTAAAAAAGAATTATACATAAATATTAATACTAATATCTAAGAAATAATAATATAATTAATGTCATATATGACGTAATTTTTCATACGTATACTTGCGTCGTAATTGCGTAGTACTTTCGACTAACGTAGTCATAGTATAGACTAGATATTTAACGCGCGAAATTTTGAATGCATTCATTTATTTGTTGTTCATGTTAATTTGTGAAGATCATTAATCAATTTATCTTAATGTCAAAAACTAAAAGGTAATATTAAATTAGAATTATATGTACAAAAGTAAAATTAACATAAATGGTCAACTATAGTTAAATCTTGATCTCATTTTGCATTATTTATATGTATTTATTTATTTTATTAATATCATATCGTAGATATTCAGCAAATTATAAAAAAAATATTATGTCAAAGTTCTGTAAAGCAAAAAATATTTTGGACAGAAGAAAAGAATGTTGGATAAAGCTGTTTAATAAGTATTCACAGCCAGTATAAAAAATTTTAATTTTTATATAAAATTTTCATGCTATTGTAATTTATTTATTAAGAGCATAAATTATTAATCTTTATGTTAAAGGTATTAAACAAAAAAGAAATAAACATTAAAACATTAATGCCAGAAAAAGCTAATACTGATATTTTAGAACTTAATAAAGCAAGTAAAATTACATCTAAACCTGATGTACTTAAAAACCATTCATTGAGTCCTAGAAATTTAATTTGTGATTCATTAAAATATAAAAGAAATTATTTAACAACAGACTCATTTTTAACAAAGAGAAATTCATCAAATCTTTTACCTACATCAAGAGATGAAACATATACTGACAGATATAATGGTAAACATATAAGTGATGGTATAATGTATAAAAAATATTTGTGTCATATATTTCATTAACTTAATTTTTATCTCTTATAAGATTATACATCAGTAAACACACAATTTAAGAATATAGAAAAAGTAAAAGACATCAAAGAGTATCGAGATGACATAAATACAATATATCCCACAAGGTTATAGATTATGCATTGTATATATTTCGTATCATGAAAAATATAAGTTAAAAAAGCTTCTTAATTTGATTTTAGAGTAATATGGAGTATTAGCAGTACCAGTCTATCAATAATAAATCTTGTATCAAATAAGATTATAAATATTAGAAAAATATATGAACATTCTATATCTGACAGTAGCACAAAATCAGAGGATACTAATTGCTCAGCAAAAAATATTGAACTACAAGGAAGTAAAAAGTTTTTTATACAAACACAATTATTTGATTCTGATTCTGATTAAAAAATATTGAAGATTAATAAATTAAATAATGCATTATATATATATATATATTTATTTATTTATTTATAGATAATAAATAAATAGTGTTATGGTTAAAATATTAAGATCATAGTTAAAAATCAAGATGAGATTGTAGCTTTAGTAATAAAAATTCGAGAACAATATTAATAGATTATTTATATTAATTTCTTATTATTTATTATCGTTATTTTATTAAATGTATTTTAATTTGTTCGCTTGTCGTTTGTCCAGAACCTGGTAATTTATTATATATTCTTGTACCTTAGGAAAGAATAGGAACTATTCGTTCATAGGTTGGTAATACTATGTTTACGGCTTACGAATAAAATAGTGATTTGTTTGCGGCATTTTTCTACAAGCTAAGAAAAGTAGTAAATGGCTGTGTAGAAATTAAATTAGTTGGACTGATCGTTGGAAATATAATGGAATCGAGCAATGAGCAAGCATCAGGAATTGTCGAGGCAAATCTCAACAATGAACAAGAGCACAATGATGAGGGCATGGAAGAAACGGAGGATTATAGTTTCGATGGAGAAGAATATCGGCACTTCGTACCGCGAGGAAGAGGTAGCTTCAGGTGCGTCGTTCTTGTTTACTCCTGGATTAATTTTTTATTTTTTGTTCTGGGTAGAATTTTATTTATTTAATTAGGATTAGGTTACAATTTTCTTTAGCAAAATCGTCGACCGATTTTTTTTTGTATGATTGACAAAGAAGAACAACAAACATTGTGTCGCGTGTTAAAGACGATCACATCAAGAACATCGTTTTTCAATGGTATTACGATGAAGTAACAAAATGCAATTTCATGCACTAAATGTAATTTTACAAGATCAACATTAATCGTCCAAGGTGAAAGGTTTTGTACCTTCCATTTATTTCAGTGCCAAAATTCGACGTTAACAATTATGAGTTGGAGATGTAGAGTTTTTATGCAGATTGAAGTATCCAAATTTCGTACGTGGACATTCCAAGTCATGGCTTAGATTAGTTATTAAAGATAGCTCAAGTGTATAAAAATAATTTAAGGGGTCGTGGCAGAGGTGGTTTTGATTTCCCGATGAGAGGCGGTCCTCCAAGGTTTCGAGGCAGAGGCTTTGGTCCAAGGGGTCCGATGTTCCGTGGGGCTAACAATGGATATCCGTTTGAGGGTCCACCACGACCAAACTGTCCACCTGGTCCAGCTGGTCCACGTTTTAGAGGGCCTCCACCATTTGATCCAAGCTGGGGACCTATGGGACCACCTAACATAATGGGACCACCAAATCTTATGGGACCACCAGGAATGGTAAAGAATATTTTTTTTTTTTTATATATATATGTATGTGTATATATACAATGTATGTAGGAACAATGTTTATATCATGATGAGTCTTCTCAGATATCTGTGTTTTCTTTACTGATATATTCAGTAAAATATGTTTAAAAAATTATATAATAAATTATTATAAAACTCAATGCATTCTGGTAAAAGCAAAGCAGATGGGAAACATTGTATGAGAGTAAACAACTGGAAGAATATCGGTATTTGTTAAAGTTTATGTCATTTGTACTTCCCTTATTTCCCTTACAAAAATCAATCTATAATATTGAAATGGCTTTACAAAAGAACATTCCTTATGATAGTTCTTTTCTTTTTTGCCTGGTATCCCTTTGTCTATTACATGTGTTAATAGCCACCACCGCATATGATGAATGGTCCCATTGGGACAGGACCGGGACCGTATGGGCCACCTCCTGGAATGGGACCACCCAATATGAATAGCGTAAGCTAGTCATAAGTGTAATAGCAGAAGTATAATGTGTAGTATAACAAAAGCAATTGCAAGGTGTGTAACAGATTCCAGGTCAACAACAAAACCAGCAGCAACAGAGTCAACCACAAGCAAACATTCCAGGACTTGATCTTAATGGAGAAGTTTGGGTAGAAACTAAAACACCAGATGGGAAGTCATATTATTATAATATTCGATCTAGAGAGACAACATGGACAAAGCCTGAGGGATCAAATGTAAAAGTCATGGTGCAAGATCAGGTCAGTAATTTTTATAAAATAATAAAATAATAATTTTATTATTTCTAAGATATTTTGATATACGATAATTATGATTTTATGTTTACTACATTAGCTAGAACAATTAGTACATGGGGCATCAAAGCAAACAGCCCGTGCTACCACGCCTACTTCCACACCTACTACTCCAACACAAGTTAATGAAAATAGAGTATCTCAAAGTAATGAACAGTCCTCCTCTAATAATGCAGATGCATTGAATCAGATGAGTACTGCACCTCCAGGTACAGGACCACCACCTTCTCTGAATGATGCTCCAGATGTCAGTACACAAGCATCAGATTCAAATCAAACTAATGGTAATAAAATCTCTTTTATATTATTATTTATTCCAATGATTCATATATATATATTGTGTCACTTTATAAATTTTAAAATATACTTTTTATATGAAAGGATCAGTACCTGCAACAGTTGCAAATGCACCAACGATAAATACATCAACCATAAATACGAATATAATGCAGCCACCACCAAATATGATGCCAATGCAACATAGAATGCCCAATCAGTTTGGTGGTCCAATTCCAACTCAATTTGGTACAGCTCCATTTGGCATGCCACCACCAGGATTTCAACCATTTGGTGGTTATGGTCCACCACAGACAAATTGGGGTATATTAGAGAAATATTTCTAACTAAAATTTTATGTGTGATTGAGCATAGAAAGTATTGTATAATTTGTTATTATTAGGTATGCCACAAATGCCACATGGTGTAATGACTTCCCAAGCTCCTGCCGAAGATCCAGCTATATTAGCACAACTTGATTCTGAATTAGTTGCATCAGCCATGATTTGGACAGAGCACCGTGCTCCAGATGGTAGACTATATTATTATAATAGTAAAGCAGGAGAATCTGTGTGGGAAAAACCACAGGCATTGAAAGACTTAGAAAGTGAGTTAAAAATAAACAATACAGTTAATTCGTGCTGTTAGTTTATAATTAATAGTTTAGAAATTATTAATTTAAGATTGTTATGCAATGTAATATTTACGAAGACATTATTTTCTTCAAACATTATAATAGATGCAAAATTAGCACTTCGGCAAAAAGCAGAAGAGGTATCAACTACCACTTCTACCACTACTGCAACTACCTCCAGTACCAGTAATAATAAAAGCCCTTCTGAAGTTAATAAGCAAGAAGTAAAACAAGAGAGTACTCATGATACCAAAGATAATGCAAAAGAAACTGAAGCTAAACCCAAGAAAGAAGAGACATCTTCGAAGGAAGCAGTTAAACCTCAGGATAAATCTAGACCAATATCCAGTACACCCGTACCAGGAACACCATGGTATGTTTGAAACAATCTTTAATATAATATTATGGTAATACACAATTTAATAATATATATTTATTTATTTAGGTGTGTCGTATGGACTGGTGATGGACGTGTCTTTTTTTATAATCCCTCGTCAAGAATTTCTGTATGGGAAAGACCAGATGACCTTATCGGCCGTCAAGACGTGGATAAGATGACATCTACGCCACCAGATGCAGTCGGAACACCAAAACCTATACGGCAGTCGGATACAAGTGAAAGTAGTGACGATGATCAACCAACTCCAGCTAAGAAAATTAAACAAGAAGAGCCTAAACGTATGTTGCATTTGAAATAATACTTCCTTAATGATTTGTGAATTAAATAGCATATAGTATTTTTTTTTTTTTTTTTTTTTTATATAAAGCTGCTACCGTAAAAGAGGAAGAGGACAAGGATGGTAAGAAAACGATCGACATTGGGAAGGAAGCAGCGATCGAAGCTGAAGTGAGAGCAGCGAGAGAAAGGGCGATTGTTCCGCTTGAAACTAGGATTAAATCGTTTAGAGATATGCTTGCAGAGAAGGATGTAAGTTTTGTTTAGAATAATTCGACTATATAAATTTTTTATGCATATGTAAAAACTCTATTTATATTAATAAAATATACAATTGTATATTAGGTATCGGCATTTAGCACATGGGAAAAAGAGCTTCATAAAATCGTGTTCGATCCACGTTACTTGCTTTTAACGTCCAAAGAAAGGAAGCAGGTTTTTGAAAAGTATGTGAAGGAAAGAGCGGAGGAAGAAAGACGTGAAAAAAGAAATAAAATGAAAGAACGTAAAGAACAATTTCAAAAACTTTTGGAAGAAGCTAATCTTCATGGGAAGTATGTAAAATATATTCACATAAAAAAAAAAAAATATATCGATAATAGAGTTGTACAAATATGCGTTTTAATTTTCAGATCATCATTTAGTGATTTTGCACAAAAGCATGGGCGTGACGAACGATTTAAGAATGTGGAAAAGATGCGTGAACGGGAAAGCCTCTTCAACGAGTATCTTCTGGAAGTCCGAAAAAGGGAAAAAGAGGAGAAAACCGCCAAGCGAGAGCAGGTATTCTTAATTTATTAAAATAATAATGATTTTACAGTGACGCAACAGCTACTTTTTAAACTTGTTGTTCGAAAACTTGCAGTTATTTTCAATATTTAATATTCTAATAAAAAAGAAAAGAACTTACGTTTTCTTCACACAATCTGTTTATATAGATGCATTCAAAAAACTTTAATTTATAGTATATTAAACATGATGACGAGTTAAACATAAGAATATTTTTTTATATAACGTTATGTTTTGATATTTCACAAAAAAAAAAAAAAAAAAAAAAAAAAAGAAAAAAGAAAAGAAAAAAAAATTAATAAATTAAAAAAAACATTCAATTATAATTTAATTTATAATTTTTTGTTAAAATATTTTTAATGTATTCTCTTATACTCTACGTTTATCATGAATGCATCTTGATCTTCTATAATTATGGAAGAGTGATATAAACAGAGTATTTTGTTTAAGTTAAATATCAATAAGATTCAATACTTTCGTTTCAGATATTTCAGTAAGATCTTCTAAGTTATATCTTTTAATTTTTCTTATAAAGTCATATTAAAAATAGTTTATAAAGATTGAGTGAAAAAAAAAAAAAAAAAAAAAAAAAGAAAAAAAAAAAGAAAAAAAAGAAAAAAAAAAGAAAAAGAAAAAAAAAAAAGAAAACGAAAAATCTGTAATTGCAAAGTAAGATGCACTTACAAGAATTAGTACTTATTAGAATGCTGAATTTTGTTTAGATTCAGCATATATTTGTGCTTTGAAGAACTTCCATTAATTAAATTATCCAAAAGATATATATATTTATATTATTCCATTAGTTAGCAATGTTTAGCATTGATTACTGACGTAAGAAATAAATGATAGACAAGACACCATGATTGCTTTAGTTCGAAATATATAATGCGACTTCTTAAATAATTAATAATATATAGTTGATTAATTATATATTTAATGAAATATGTATTTTCAGATATAAATAATTATTCTTTCAGGTTCCATAGGTATGTTATTATTTTGTTCCACTTGTATGATTACATATAAAATGAATTCCTAATATTTATGGCTGAAGAACACATACCAGGAGAAGTTTCTCTAATCATTCTCTACTCCAGTAGATTTGTTCGATAGAGAAAATTTTTGTAGCTCTAAGACGGGAGATGTAGAGAATAAAATCTTAGTATGTGACGGTTCCTTATATACTTATGTGTTCTGAACTCTCCACTTCAGTCAGGAGGCAGGCAGGACAGGTTCCGTATGTGGAGTGGCTTGGTTCTGAAGCTGGTTGGTGGCATGGATGATGTCATCTACCATCCCCACCTACACTACGTGGCACAGTTGGCACACCCTCGCGCGCCGCATTCTTTACTCCAAACCAGAGTCATGAGAATGAACGAACTCGGTATTTGTATATTACTCGTAATCCTCGTTACTTCAAAAGATTAACTTTTCCCCAAAATTAAAAACAATATCGAAAGAGTTACATGATGAGAATCGCAAGAGAGTTTTATCTCACAGGGTAGCTTTACTTGCAAATACTTTGATATGCATTATTTCGTTCTCGGGACTTAAAAAAGTTTATTATTTTGTCGGTATTAAAATTTGTATTCAATGTATCGAAGCAAGAATGAAATCTTATATTATTTATTTTTACATTTTTATTATCACAATTTTAAATAAAATTTAACAATTTTGATTGCAGAGTATAGAAATCATTTGAAAGTTAATAGTTAATCATTAATCGTTCTTGTATCGAAGCATTATAAGTCATGTGTTTGAATTAAGAAATAAAAACTTTATGTACATATCTTAAAACTACATACATATATATGTATATATTACAGTGATATTTCACATATACATATATATATGCGTGTGTATTTTCTGTTTAATAATTTTATTTACGATTTAAGTATTTTTATTATATCACGTAAATATACATGTGCGAGAGAAAGGATTTAGACTTTATTAGAGTACAAAGTCACAGTGATAGATCAAATTTTTGTAGTAACGTGGTATGATGGTTAAATGGGAATAATGGGGAGTATGCATTTGTATAACAGTAGATTTATGTTCTTTTATGAAAATAATGATTAGATATGAAAGTAATAAAGGTGGACATCATAGGGTAGTTAGATTGTAGTTATCAAGTTGATTATGTAATACTAAATCTTTCTTCGTTGAAAATCAATGTGAAAAAAATAGGTTCCAATTTGTGGCATAAAAAAAAAAAAGAAAAAAAAAAGAAAAATAAAAAAAAAATAAAAAAAAAAGAAAAAAAGAAAAAAAAATGAAAGAGAAAAACCTGTAGAAATATTTCACAATTAAGAATTTTTTTCTTTAATTACTAGTAAAAAATATCATAAGAAAGAGGATAGTTACTATACGAAATTCCGAAGTCGTCCGTAAATTACGCAATGGGAATGACAGAGGGTAATAAATCATTTTTATGTTTTAGCAAGATAAAAAAAAATTAAGCTGGATTAATAATTAAGATAGAATCATTTATAAATATAGTTAGTTTTAAATATTAATTTATATATATATATATATATATACATATACGCCTACATACATACATATGTATATATATGTATATATATATGTATACATTCTCTTTCATATTTATTATTTAATAGAGAAAAAATTATATCAATTATTTTTATAGCAAGAAATATAAAAAAGAAAAAGTTGTTAGTGCTACAATGCCACTATAAGATTGTAGAACTAATACTCTAAATACGGAACTTGAAGAAATAATTAAAAGGAAAGTAAGAAGTAGAGTTAATAGCTCGTTTCGTAATTTGGACGGCTAAAAATTTCTGAAATCATACAAACTCGACAATAACTTACTAACATATTTTTTCTTTTCAGCAAGGGAAGGCGTTAAAAAACATATCCATATTTTAAAGCAAGTTGTCATTAAATCAAAACAAAATACTTTCTTTTCTTAGGAAACAGAGTTACATTAATTTCAGAGTTAATTTCGATTTCATGTATTTCGCTCTAGTATGTATGAATGAATGTGTAAATATAAATGTTTTATATGTACAATATATAAAATTTGATGTATGTATATCTCTGTATGGAAGTGTATGTATATTTGTTTAATGACAGCTTGCTAAAAACTAATCATTTTTACAGCTTTAATGAGTATACTTTTTTTCAGCAGAAAACAGCATATTTCATAAAAAATTCCAACAAATAGAGCCCTTAAAGTTGTGATATCTCCTGACGCGAATGAATATTATTCAATATTTGTTCTACCCATTACGAAATACACAATTTGAAAACCATAATACAAGGTTTGCAAGTTGAAATAGTTTGATCCACATTACAAATAATTACTTTACATGATATAATTATAAAGTGATTGTAATGTGGTTATAAGCGTGTACTCATTGGTTGGAAATATTATTAAGCGTGCATGATAAATCCGAGCCAAAACAATTTACAATTATAATAAAGATTTGTAAAATAATAGTAAATAAGCAAAATTGTTGTTATTTCTCAATAATGACGATCTTATGATGAATGTATTTCAGGTGAAAAAGGAATTCATAGCAATGCTACGTGAGCACAAAGACATTGACAGACATTCGCACTGGAGTGACTGTAAGAAAAAATTGGAATCTGATTGGAGGTACAGAGTCGTAGAATCAGCAACCACTAGAGAAGATTGGTTTAGAGACTATATTCGTATTCTGAAGGAGGAAAGGAAAAAGGAAAAGGAGAAAGATAAAGATCATCGGCACAGAGATAAAGACCATCATAAATCAGAGAAGAAGGACAGGGATCGGAAGGATGTGGATAAGTATAAAGAAAAATCTAAGGACAAATCTGATAAGGATAATAAGGAAAAGAAACAGAAACGAACAGATACTGGAACTGAAGAAAATGGCAAGGAGAAAAAGGAAACGGTTGAGAAAGAAAGCGGAGAGTTAGAAGAAAGTGATGAAAAAAATACAAAAAAAGAAAATGATGTAAGTTCTCTATCGTCATTTTATATTTTTAATTATTGTTAACGTATTATATAATTATAACGTATACTTTTATAGAAGGAAGAAGGTGATGATCATTCCGATTCCGAGGAAGATCGCGAGAAACAGAAGCGAGAACGCGAAAGAAGGGCAGAGGCAAGTTTACGAGAAAGAGAAAGAGAAGTACAGAGAACATTGGCTACACATCTTCGAGATCGTGACAAAGAAAGACAGCATCATCGCCATACGGAAGCTGTTCAACATTTTAGTGCACTTCTTGCTGATCTGGTATGTATCAAAAGTTTAGTTTTAAATAAGCTAATTCAGATATAACATCTTTCAATAAAAATGTTTTTTTGAAATGCAGGTGAGAAACGGTGATCTTGCGTGGAGAGAAGCGAAACGACAATTGAGGAAGGATCATAGATGGGAATTAGCGGAGAGTTTAGATCGTGAAGAAAAGGAACGATTGTTTAATGAACATATCGAACAACTTGGTCGAAAAAAGCGAGATAAATTTAGAGAGGTTTTAGATGAAGTAGGTGCTTCGACCGAACTAACAGCATCTTGGAGAGATATTAAAAAATTATTAAAAGATGATCCTAGATATATTAAATTCTCATCTAGTGATCGGGTACGTTGATGATAATAAAATTTAAGAATTATTTTTTAAAAATATGTATTAATTGTGTATTGTATTCTTTTTTTCTTCTTTTTTTTCTTTCTCTTTTTTTTTCTTTTTTTTTTTTTTTTTATGAATAGAAATGTGAAAAAGAATTTAAAGAATACATAAAGGATAAACTTGTTGCGGCTAAAGCAGATTTTAGAGAACTCCTGCAGGTATGCAATGTTTTCTACGTTAACGTATTGAACATATTTAATTCCTATACATCTATGTTTCTACTAATTTTTTAGGAAACAAAGTTGATTACCGATAAGACGTATAAAAAGGTGCAAGAAAATAGTGCTTGCCTAGCCGAAATCGAAGAAATTTTGAGGAAGGATCGACGTTTTCTCGTATTAGAAGCGGCAGCTGCTGAACGAACGCGACTATTAATGGGATATTTGGAAGAATTAGCACGAAGAGGACCACCTCCACCTCCCACAGCATCTGAACCATCAAGAAGACCAACCACGAAGTAAATATGATTAGATAATTTTTCTAAACAAACTATAAATATAAAAAAAAAAAAGAAAACAAAAAAAGAAAAACGAAAACCCCATACAATGTGCAAATATGATATATTATTTTTATTTCAGTTAAAACATTTGAATCAACAAGTGAAAACATAAATGTGGTGCCCAAAAAGAAAATGAGTTATTGAATCTATTGCTATAGTTGGATTGAAGTACTTTACACGCAAGGTGATAATCGTATGTAATTATAGGTATCAATAAAATAACACCAATTCCACACAGTTAAACGTGTGCCGTGTTATACAGAGTACTAAGTTACAATCTGACTTATCCGTTGAGAATCATATAAGGCAAAAAAGTGTATTATGAAAATAAATACATAGGTATTTATTACATTATCAGATTTAAGATCTATAGGATTGTCCGGTTTATAGTGCAAAATATGCTTTTATAATTCTTTTATATAAATTTTCATGTGTAAAGGCAAAACTTTAGAATGCATGAGATGAACACTCAACTCAGCTGTGTGCGTTTGAAATTGTGTAACTGATGATAATTTATTAATTATTTATGTTAGAAAATAATTTCTTTAAAGAAACGTGTACCATAAGGCAATTTATGACAATCAGATGAGGTATATTTTTTAAACGCACGATTATAGAAGATCTTTCAAAAAGTTAAGTTATTTGAACCAGTTATACAAACACAGCGTAATAAATGTAAGTATATGATAAAAAAAAGATTAAAAAAACAAAAAACAAAAAAACAAAAAAAAAAAACAAAAAAGGAACCGACTAGAATATAATCTGATGCTCTACGATAGTTCATATTCCTCTCCGTACTTGATGTTATAGGAATGCATACATACTTGTCCTGTTAAATACGAAGATATTGAAAGTTTCCACGAACAATTGCTTCTGTATATTAATCATTATCAACAACTTAAACCAAGAAAGACAACAAGAATTTATATACAAAATTCATGAGTATGATAAATCAGAAATTGTAAAGCGTATAATACTCATTGTAGAGTTGTATCAAGAGCCAGTATATTGTTGTATTTTCTCAGTATACTCCATATAAAAATCTATATTATGAAAATGATTTTATTTATATTTGTATTAGTTAAATTTTAATTTTTTTATCTTTTTTTTTTTTCTTTCTTTTTTTCTTTTTTCTTTTTTTCTTTTTTTTTTTTCTTTTTATCAAATTTGACTTGTTAGCAATTTCCTTCGTCGATCGTAAAGAAAATTCTTCTTGAAGAAGATTGATCCACAAGAATCCCTTAATTCTTCTTACATGTTCTTGTTTCATTTATATTAATGCAACATTGATCTCTATACAAGGTTCTTAAAAAAAAATGGTATTTATTTCCTGTAATTAACAATATTTTCTTTTTTGTCTTTTGTCATAATGTTAAACATAACATTTCTTTATCACAATATTAGATTAAATTTTATCGATCGAGAAAAGATCAAGAGATCACACGAGATCGGTAGATACGAAGGAAGAAAAGAATGAAAGAATAAAAGAAAGAAAGAAAGAAAAAGAGAAAGAGAGAGAGAGAGAGAATCTCGTTGGCCTCGAGGCGATCTCTTCTAAGAGGTGCGAGCGATTGGTGTGGTAGTCTACGGGGACAAAGTGAAAGTAAGATTTTGCTTTCTATTCGTTCTCTTAGCAGTGAGGGCCGTACCGTGGCCGCGATCGTATGTTTAGAGAACAATGTACGCGTTCGCTGTTACAAATACCTGAGAAAACAACAAAAGAAAGAAAAGAAGAAAAAAAAAAAAGAAGAAAAGAAATTATCTCATTTGCGAAATCAAAATTAACAGGCAGCCAAGCTGTGTGACTTCGTTCGCGGGATGTACTTAATCATGAAATTTACGTTGATTTTACATTGAAAACGGGAGTGAACGAGATTTGAAAAAAATTGGAAAGATTTTAAGGGATTCAAGTTTGGCGGATGATGAAAATGTCGCACCTAGCAATTCCACCATGCTTGTTCCTTCTTGTTGTCTTCTTTCTTGTCGGCACCTATTGTCAACAAGGTAAGCATATTTTAGTGATCTATGTTTATGGTATTTTTATTTTTTCATTTAATTATAAATTTTATTACTATCGTTAAAAAGTTCCGGTTAATTTAATTATTGATCGATCAATCAATTATCCCATTAATTATGTAAGCGTACATAGTTATCCTTTGAATAGAATTATAACGGAATATATATATATATATATATCGTAATCATAAATGGCGTTTTAAGTATGGTTCTGTGTTAAGAAATAACTCTCGAAGTTAGGTGCTCTCAAGGTTGGGAAAGTCTTAGCACATGCATTCTTTATGGCGAGTCGGATGAAGAAATGAATAAAGGCAAAGCGTGAACGAGATCTCTAGCAGCGAAAGTAAATGCATTTATATGCGTATACATATATACGTTAGGTGAGCGTGAAACATACCGATGAGAGAAAGAGAGAAAAAGAGAGAGAGAGAGAGAAAGAGAGAAAGAAAGAGGGAATCCATATTCTGTTTAAGAAAACAAAGGGTTTGAGTTCGTGAACACGTTTGGTGCAAGGAACGATCGACGACCGGTCGAAGGACGATCGAAAGGAGAACGGTTACCGTTGTTAACTTATGTATATATGTATATATATATATATATATATAAAATTTCATTCTTTACGCATTGCACGATTCCTCGCTCCTTTTTTGTCTAAACCGTTCCGTTATAAATTCAAGTCCCCGATGTCTTCCGAAGTCGCGCGTGGAATAATCAAGTATTCCACTCGCGAGGAAATTAATTTTCTAGTCGACCAACTGAGGGGAAGAAAGTCGAGACAAGAATATTGCATATGCAATACAGATAATCTACTACTCGATCATGTCCAATTTCAATTTCCAATTTCTTCAATAGTTGCACGGTTACATAGTTCGATTACGTGTCTTCTACATTCGATACGTTCCGCTTTTATTATTTATTCCGACATGCTTATTATTATACATTGTAAGTAAGTATAGATATAATATGTAATAATATCTAATAATACAAGGCCATGGAACAATTCCTTTGAGTTATGAAAGCAAATGAGATTCAATTATATAGGATGAACCAATTGGAAATTGATTGTTTGAAGATTTTTATAGTCGTCTAATATATTATCACCTATGTATCTATCTATCTATCTCTCTCTATATATATATATATATATATATATATATATATATATAGATTAAATTAATGTTTTCTTTGAACCAAATTAGAGTAATCAAGAAAGTTACACGGTTCGTTATTCACGCGTATACGCGCAAGCAAGCATTAGAGTTTCTATGCGAGCATTGAAATCTCCATATCGCTCTCCATCATACCATTCTCTGACGTCTATCTCGCGAGTAATATAATTGTGTCAGAACATTTTTCAAAAGAATCCATTGAAATTTGTTTTGATCGATAGATTATACTTTCGTAAAAGAATGCACATAGATATATTGAAATTGCAAAATAATATTTTTGCTCGATAACTTTCCCAAAAAAATTTCATTGAGCGATATGTAAATTTTGATACATATACATATATATAAAAAATATATATCAGTCAATTAAATATTTATTACAAACAGATATTTATTATCTCGTTTGTACTTTCAGAAACTTCTCAGGCACGATATAAGTTCTCACAACTTATACCGACGAACTCGGTGTACGAACATCGAGAAAGTGGTGTGCCTTTGGAATGGGGTAAAAAAAATGATACATCATTGTTACTCCGTTCGCTCGAGGAAAATAACGTCATGGATATGTCACGATTGAATTCAAAGGAAAATACAGAAGAAATAGAAGAAGAAGAAGAAGAAGAAGAAGAAGAAGATGACGTAGCCGATGAATGTGATTACGAAATCAATGCTAAATCGGAAATTCCGTCTGATTATATTAAAGAGCAATCGAAATGTAAACGACCGATACACGAACGTAATCCACTTTCAAATGTCGAGGGTCTTCACAATTCTAGGGATCACGAATACGACGAAAATCATTCGACGAATCAGTATGATTCATATTATTATTACGAGGATTATGATAACAACAATCGATCGCAATATAAAACCGTAGGTAATGTGGTTTTAATTTATTATAATAATTCATTGATTGAGTTCAAAATATTTAAATAGATTCTTTTCCATTCGCATTCTAATTTTTATGTCTATAGACGCAGAAACCGTCGATTATGCGGATTTCGAAACACACGACGTAACTACTGAAAAATTGACAGAATTAAATAATCATAAAAATCATCCTTTCATAGACGAAGAACTTATAAACGAGGACAAAGAAGAAGACGATTCGATCTCTACAACAAATACAGATGCTAAAGAAGTGACCTCGATGGAGGGTAGCAATAAAAACTTTGCCTTTATGGAGCCACCTAAACTACTATTATCGTCATCGGATGATTCTGATGAATTAGAAAGTCCGATCTTGATCGGTGAAGCTATTGTATCTGTAGTAACAACAAAAAGTGTCGTCAATGGAACAATTTCTATTCCAACGAGCACACCAACACCAATGACTACTGAACAAGTAGCACCACCACCGTCATTGACCAAAGAAAAATCTATTGATGATCGAATATTAGAAAGTACTACGACTGAGGATTCCAGGGTATTGGCTTTTGTACAAACTAGTCGTAGCATAAATGGTGCACGTTTTCTACCATTTCCGGTGATAGACCGAGTCGTGCGAATAAACAATGATGCTGCAGCCATGACCCCAATAAAAAAAACATTTCCACCTCCAGAATCAACGGAAAGCATTATCGATAAACTTGACAGAGTGCAATCTGAATTATCAAGTGGTTTCCTTGTTGGTGGCTTTAGAACAGCTGGTAATGCATTGCAGTTGGATGTTTTAAATGATAGAGATCGTACAAGTCGTCGTAAATATGTTACATCTACGAGCGGTAGTAGTATTACTACTACTAGCAAAACGCCTATTATTAGTAAATTTGTACCTAGAAGATATAACGACAAGAGATTTGATCGTACGAATGTTAACAACTCTTCTGAAGGGTTCTTACATGATTCTGATTCCAATGGGATGATTACTAGTACGGCACGAGCGAAGATAGCCTTCAAGTTAGAAAATTATATTATTATTATTATTATTTACGATGTTTTCTCCTATTTCTTTTTCTATATTCATCGACGCGATAATTTATGTATTTTAGATGGCCTTCTGGAAAAACTACAACACCATTAAATTCGGATGAAATAAAGTCTACGACTCAGCCTAGTACAGCTGCTATTAAAAAGACCAACACACAAATCATCTTTCAAGATGTCAAATCTTTCTTACCGCCTGGATTTAAATTATCGAAAGAAGATCGACAGGAAATAACAGAACGTAGTGCTCTGAGCGATATCTTAGCTAAATCAAAGGTTGACGTTTCTAAACTTTTGCCAGCTGATTATAATAAAAAGAAGAACATAGAAGAAGAAATAACAGTTGCTAGTGTCGATTCATCGAATAAGTTTACTACAGAAAAGATATCCATTCAAAATCTTTTTGCCAATTCGAAGTTTGACGTGACTGCTTTGTTACCTCGTGATTATACGGAAAAAGTGACTAATTCATCAAGCTCAAAGAACAATGAATCGAGTGATTCTAATAATAACAATTCGACTTTAACGAGCACTGAACCGACTACAGCTAAAGCTGGTGGTTTGAAAATTGTATTTCCTAGCAGACCAGGTGGACGAAAACTTGGTCATAAAATTACAACTCCTCAGAGCCATCGAATCGATGGACTTCCTGCAATTACTCCACGTATACAAAAGGGATGGCCAACTAGGTGAACATTAATAAACTTCATTAAATTAAATAAAAGAATTAAATTAAAAATTTAAATGAGCTATAAAAATAATCACTTTTCAATTTTAGAGCTACCACTGAGTTTACTGGCTGGCCAACTCCATCTACTACTCCAATCTCAATCGAAAAACTTTTGGAAGTCGCTAGAACTGCAACGGATATTTCTGTGAACATGTCAGTCGTCGAAACTACAAGTGCCGTTTCAATAACGTCTACGACAACTACAACAACGACGACACCAAGATCAACGACTATTGGAATATGCGAGGAAGAGTGTGAAGTTGCTGGTACTATACGGATAATTGGTAATACTATTTGGGTACCAGAGTTACTCGATCGTAACACTCAGGAATGGCAGCAACTTGCAAACGAGATTGAAAGAGATGTAAATTTTTACTAAATTACCTTCTTTCGTGATATATATCGATCTTCTTTTTTTTCATAACTGATCGTAATTATATTTTTTTAGATGAATTTCGTCTTTTCAAAGTCTACAGTTTTAATGAATTGGTATAAAAAGATAAGAATCGATTCGTTCAGGTACGCAATTATAAATATTGACCCTAAAAAAATGCTTATTTATTGAAATTAATTTTTCCCTTGTCTAATTTTTCAGTCAAGGTAGTATTCTGGTAGACTTTTTCATTGAACTCGTGAACTTACCGCAAAGAATCAACACGCAAGAATTGAAAGTAATATTTCATGATTCTTTGAGAACGTATAATTCAAGTCGTTGGAATGAAACTAAGGGGAAAGGAGATATGAAGTTAGGTGTATTCACGATAGATCCTAAATCTACAGATTTCGTAGGTAAGTGAAATATCGGGTGTATAATTATTATACATGTGTTACGTTACATTATTTTTTGTTTAGTGATACCTAAGCTTCCTTTCTCTAATATAATTGAAAACGAAGATAGATTAATACCTCAGTGGGCAGTTGTTATGATAGTCATTGGTATTGGAGGATTATTATTCATTATAGTATTCGGTGTTTCCGTGGTAAGTTAATTAGATTAATTAATTAATTAATAATTAATAGTAATAGTTATCTTAAAGTTCAATATAATGAGAATATTTTTTGAAATTGTTAGCTGGTCAATCGTCAAAATGGTTCAAAGTTGAAACCCTCTGTGTCTACTATTTATGAAGATGGAATTGGAAAAAATATATTGGGAAATTCACATGCAACATCGTTAAATAGATCTAATGATTATCCGAAGCAAATACATACAATATGGACTGATCCAGATGTCTCGTGGAACGATAAATCATTTGAATCGACGTCTAATAAGGTATGTCAATGAAATAATTTTTATGAAAGTTATGTTACACGTAAACATATACGTAATGAGTATTGCCTATCATTAGGAGCATACCCAAATTTAATTCAAATAATTATCCATTAGATGGCGTTCAACAGTATGACAGTCGATAATCGATATGAATAATCGATAACAGAAAAATCTACATATACTCCGTAAAGATAATTGTTTAAATAATTTTATCACTTGTTTATACTTTGTACAGGTATTAGTAGACAGATCATTTCAAGAAGGTAAAAAATATAACCTCCACGATAGTTGGCGATCTGAATGGAATGGATATTATTCTAATCCATCACACGGAAATGATGATTACGGCGGCTATCATCATCATCATCATCATCATCATCATCATCATCAACATCCAGATTGTGATACGAATTTTTAAAATTGATAACAATAAACTGTTATCTCTGTAATTTATAAGTTAATTTATTCGTGTAAGTATTTACTTCAGACAATCATTACCTTAAGTAGGTGTAATCAATATGATGCAGTACCCATTAATATGAAAAAGGATTACAAATTTATATAGGAAGGATACAAAATTATTATTAATATTTATAAAAAATTAAAAAAATATTTTTTTTCTTTTAATACGTACTGCAATTATCGTCGAATAATAAACTTTAAATATAAAAAATTTGATTTTTCTACTCTAGTCAAAATAATAAATTATTTTAATTTGTAATTATAAAAATAATTAGAAAAGAGGAACATATATCTTATTTTCTATTGAATGGACGATACTACTTACGAAAGACATAATCCTGAATAAGTACGAAATAATAAAGCATCAGAAGAGAGCAACGAGAGTAAAGATAAGGAACATCATTTATTTTGGCAATAATCTATCTGGCCATGTTAGATTCATGAATATTGAACTTTTTGTTTCTTTTCGAATTTCTATTTGACGTCGAAGTAAGCATAAGAGCTTTTGATATAAAAACGATCGCCTAAATAACATAAAAAATTATAAAGAATTATAAAGACTTTCATCTTTCATAAAACAAACAAAAAAATATTATTGAAAAATCTGTAAGAAAATTACCTATTAGCAGGCTTACAGATTGTTAAATGATCCTGTGGAATTTCAAAAAATTCACCTACACCAGGATCTGTGAATGAATAATCTTATGAATAATCTTGTTATACAAGAAATAAAAAAGAAATAACTTAATAATAATATAAAAAACTTCACCTGCTGAATTAGGAGTGACGAATTGAAATGGAAATTTTAAAGCAGTTACCAGGGTAGATTTTGTTTCACTGAAACTCACAATATTTATAGGATAATCGTTTAACATTTCAATAAAATCTTTGTGCAATCCAAGAAGATGCGGTGATTCTGTAGAATAGAAATATAGCGTATAAAAATTAGTTATGCTTTCTTATAAATATTTATATTGTTTTTAAAATAATAATTTACCTTGTCGTAATTCCTGCACCTCTATTGATGGCCATAAAAGCATTTGTGTTGCTTGCGTTAATGCAGCTATGTGCGAACCACGATGTGGAGTACTATAAAATACTATACCACGTGTATTTTTGCATATGTTATGCTTATCCCCACTTTTCCATTCTATACAAAGTTAATAGTATATTGTACTGATATATATATATAAAAAAAAAGCAAAGTATTTACTTATCATTGATCTTTAATTATTCACCTTCGACGAGCATTTTTTTAACTAATAAACCACCCATCGAATGACAAACCCATATTATTGGTCGTTTTCCAACATCTGCTATCAATAATTTATTAATATATTCATTACTTCTTTCACTGATCGTACTCCTAAAAGAATTAATAAACGTTTAAATGTAAATAATATTTATATAGATATCAAATAATGTTTATTATTTACTTCAAGCTCTCTATTGGACACAAAGGAGTCCACATTGATAAATTTGTCTCATAATTAACACCGAGAATTCGAAGATATGGTACATCTCGAGGCAACCAATCCATTGGCCAACATTGTGTTCTATAAATTTTATCATGCTCTAAATCATTCATGCAAGCATCATCTCTAAAAAAAAAAAACATTGATTTTTAAAAAAGAATTCACATTATTTTATTATCAATAATAATTTGAAATAATTTGCAATTGTTAAGAAATATTCAAATGAAAATTATTGTATAATGACCAATATTTATAATACATTACCCTTTACAAGTAAATGGACCAGTTAATTGATAATTAATATTTACAGGACAATCATCAAGTATCACCTCGTAATCTCTGCCTAATTTTTTCCATGCACGTATTTGCAAATCATAAGCCAAATCTTTGAAAAATTCTTTGGGATAATCACTGATCAAAGTAGACATATGACTATTTTCATGTTTCATATTAATAGGATCTATATTTATTACATAAAAAATCACACATATTATACAAAATTGATGTAGGACATTTTCTTCTAAATTAATTATCCATACCAGTGACAAACCTTCGTATTTATATGTATCATTATTTATATCTCTCTGTCTCCATGTTACAAATACTCCGCCAAGTAAACCATGCAAAAAGATAACATCTAGTTTTGATGTTGTATCAGTTCTATGCAATGGATGAAGAAGATATACATGCCTATGATATTTGATATGTTTATTTTTATCTATATCTAAATTTGCTAAAGCACATCCTGCAGGTACTGATAATCTTATATCTTTATTCTTAGACCATGTGACTAATATACTCAACCAACCTAAAAAGAAATTGATGATATTAAATGATTCTCAGTGATAACAAAAAAAAAAAACAGATATTTTATTTATTTTAGTAATGTCTAACCTGATCGAAAAAAATCATCTAAATATTCAATGTGAAGTGATATATTAGAAAGTATATTGGCAAGTATTATACACATGTCAATATTATCACTGAAAATTTTATAAATTAACATAAGTATCTGAAGACCATTGGCATTTACAATATCTGAAAAAAAAGCAACAAAATCATAAGAATATAGTAAATAAAAAATATATATTGTTTAATGACAACAATCAATTGCTTAATCTTTTATACCTTTACTATACTGTTCAAGAGAGGAATGATGATAAATTGTTTGGACACAGTTTTGAAGTAATTCTTCATTCCATATAATTGTTGGAGGAATTGCTAAACCCATACTTGGTAAATCATGTTCAAACATTAAACCATCCTATGACATATATTTTATCATAGATATATTATTCTTATTTTGTATTTGAAATTTCTACTTACTCTAAATAAATCTCCAAATTTTTTCTGAAGGAACTGTGTGAGACATGGATGTAATTTATTACATAATGAATTTAAATGTAACAGCATGTTATGGACTTTCTCAATTACATCCTGTAAGAATAATTTATATTAAGTATTATTTTAAATGTTTATGGAATCTACATATACAAGAGCTATTAGTCTTTTCAGCATCATATGTAAAGCTAATATTATGTACAATTTACATACATGCAAATTATATTCCATATGAAAATAAGGTGGTTTTAAGAAAAAGCGTTGATCAACATTTGGTGTACGTGCAAGAGCAATAGCTGTCCTAGCATCTAACATCTGTGCCATATTTTGATAATGCCAATCTAAAAATTGTTTTTGTTATAAAAATTTTTTCAAACAAAATATGACAGCTATTTGCTGATACTACATAGATAATAATCTAGAATCTTAACATATATATATTTATATATACATTACTTATTTTTATTTTTATTTACCTTCTAAATAATTTAGAGAACATAAAGCTGTCGCAGCTCTTATTCTTTCATGTTCATCACCAAAACGAGCTACATTAAAAAATGCATATGCTAATTTTCGATTTAACATTTTCCATCTCTCTGTTATAATATCAACCATTATAGGTACAATATTAGTTACATTATAACTGAATCTAACTAAAATATTAGTTACATCATGATTATCTGCAGATTGTCTTTCTGATGTATATTGATTTTCCTTTTCATGAAATGTAAAGATATCTAAAATAAAATTATTATAATAAATTATTATATTAAATATTATAATATAATAAAAGACAGCAATTTATGATAAGTATGATATAAAAATATTATGTTGAATTTTTACCTTTGTATTGAGGTTTATCAATATATATGTATGATTTGCGTGTTTGTTCTAAATTAAGAATATCTGTTGTTACAGTGGATCGAAGAATCTGTGATGTCTGTCGCAGTTGATATAAAAACCAGCAACCACTATATAAAATATGATTAAAAATATAAAAAAAAAAAAATATGGTAAAATAACATTTATTTTATTATCTTAACCTGAATAAAGTAAAATAAACATACCCTATGAATACCATGCAAGTACCACTTGATATCAAATAATACAAGCATTTTTTGTAAGTTCTTAAACGCATTTTATCAAAATTATTATTAGATCCAATATTACAATATTATCAGAAGATATAGTGCGATTTAATCGACTTCAGTTTTATCGTGCGTCATGGATTTTCGTCGTCATACTTGTGTGATAAAACAGATAAATATTTAATATTTTAAACATATTATATATAAAAAGAAATATCGAGATACTATTGCGATTTTAAAATTTAAATTTAAAGTCTAATATTAGCCACTTTTTACAATATTATGCTTCTTTCAAATCATTATATCAAAATATATAAACTATTATAGAGTACTTGCAAAACTAACCTTAATAATAATATTTGTAAATATAACACTTTATAATTTGATAATATCACTCGAATGACTATCTAAATTCCATTATCTACGATATGTCATTTACTTACACTAAACATATGAGATTATAAATATATATACACGCAACAATAAAATGTTATTTTTTTTTAGAGATAATGTACGACTAATTTTCTCGATATGGCACCGCTCACAGATTTATTGTCCTGTAGTATAATCGGTAAGTTTAGAATTTCTATATATAAGATAATATATATATATATATATATATTAATTATAAAAAACAAATATAAATATTTAATACGTATTTATTCTAAGAAGATAATTTGAAATGATTATTTTTAGAAAAAGATCACAACGGGGATATACTTTGGACATGGTCATATCCTACAGTCTCAGAATCACAAAAAATCATTGTCAAAAGAAAATGTAATTTAGGACTTGAGCATAATTCTCCGCAAACTTTTATTTGCGCGAGACATGGTCAAACTTGGTTTTATTTACACTGTAGTGAAGTATTTGATTCTGACAGATTGCCCAAGGTAATACATACATATATATATGTATGTGTATTAAAAGTATATGATAAAATAACCAATAGATAATTTTGTTATTAGGTCAAACAATTTGCATTAGTTTTATTTGCAAAAGATTTTAATCCACAAAAGTATGAAGTACTGTCACGTGTCTTTAGTAAAATGTATTGCAAGACAGGAAAACCAACAGAGATTTTACAATTATACCTTTCCGTCTTTACAAAGGGATCATGTTCGACCCAAGAAAATGGAACATTTGTGTCTGATGATTTTAGCAGTCGTACAATAATTAATACAAATGTTAGAGAGTTAATAAAAACATTTGAATTAGAATCGATTTTAATATATACTGCTCTCTTGTTAAAAAAAAGAATAGTAATATATCATCATAGCTTAGAACAATTACTTAAATGGATGAAAACTTTTCCTGCTTTAATGAAACATCGCAAAGTTGAGGAAAATTTATATCCATGGATAGAGTTGGTAAATGACGAGCTACTTGACTTGAAGGTATATATGTGTTACAAAAAAGATTACTATCTTTTTATGATTTAAACATTGAAAATACATGATTTTGTAGAAACAATCATACTATGTAGCAGGATGTAGAAACAGTGCAATTTCTTCAAGGACAGATCTATATGATTTATTAGTTAATATACCTGCTAGAGAAATCACTGTTGCTCCACATGCAAAAGGTAGAGAAAAAAGTTTTCTCAGTTTCTTTTTTCTATGGAACTTATAACTATAATCTTTGTTTCACAGAGAGTTTCACTATGACAAAAACGCATAAGGAAATAGCATTGTTTATGGTACAACTATGCGAAAATCAAAGCAATACAGAATTACAAATAATATCCGAGATTAATGAAAAAACAAAAGATTTATTAAATCAATTAACATCTTTGGCTACCACCGAAACGTCGGATGGAAAAAAAATGGTGTCGATTCAGGCATTCAAAGAAAAAGACTTACCACAAGCCGTCGAAAGTTTTTTAATTAATTTAGCTATAGCTGAAAATTTATTCATATTGTAATATATTTTTTGAATTTGAGTTATGCAAAACCATTACGCAATTTTCCAAATAAAATGAAAATCTTTATGTAGGTATTAAATCAAATAAATTGTTACAACTGACATATAATATATAAAGTATATATTTCATTTAGAATGAATAAACAATTCCACATTGTTATAGTTTTTTCGAGAAAATCTAAATAAATTAACAAAGACTATTGACATAAATAATGTTGCTTTGTTTCGTTCACATCGAAAATGTCACGTTTCAATTGCGCGCTCAAATAAATGTTTTTGTAGCGCGCGAAAATTTGAAATTTGTTTGAAGCAAATGGCGTTATACGCATGTGTTATATGTATAATTTTTTTTTTTATAAAATAACAAATAATTAACAATTCGAACAGATGATAGAAGAAGGATGTGATATGGTCAACCCGTGCTAGGCAAATTTTATAATAAAAAAAGATTAATAATATATTTTTTAATCAAAAACTTATTACACAAGCATTTTTAGTATACAAGATTTATACGTATACTTCGGCTGTTATGAATGAACTCATTTTTTCTATGAATTCAAAGTATTTTATGCGTATTTCTTTGAATAAACATTCATATATTTACAAAAATATATAAAATATATTAATCCCTAAAACATTTCAAAACAAATACAAAAACGTTTACTATCATGCAAATATCCGAGTGCAATAATAGTGAAAAATTTATGTAACTTTTTTTTTTTAATTAAAAACAACTTTTAAATACTGTCGCCTGCTTACTAATATTTCATAATACTGACAAAGATAATAAACAATAGTATGCGAATATCAGCAATAATAATTAATTAATAATAGTAAATAAGAGATTCATATTATCGAATCGAAACTGTTAAATATGGATTACGATTTCCAATCAGTTTTTGATATTGCCTTCTTTTCAATTATCTCTTTTTTAATAAGGAAGCCACATCAAAAACTGATTATTTAAATCCTTCAATTAAAAACGCTCCCTAACGACCAACTTCGAAAGACTTTCGAAGACTTTCGAAGTAGACTATTACGAGAAAATTTGATTAATTTCTCGATAATTTCGATGATTCCTTATTCCCAGTGACTTGTTCAAGTTCAATACCATCATATTCAGGAGCTCCAGCATTATCATAGTATGCGTAATCATAATCATTTTTTTTCCCTGATTTTGATCGAGCAGTTGAACTGCTAACGAATCTGGTAGTGGATGTGAAAGGTCTAGCCGATCCACTGACGTACGTGCTACTTCGAGGAGTTGTATTTATTGACGATGACTTTTGAGCGTTACTGCTGAAGCTGTTTGGATTATACGTGGTTGCACTAGCTTGTCTCCTGTTTGAATAGAAAAGAGAAAGTACGGATAATGTAATTGAATGATGACATCGTTAAGAATATTGTAATTGTATAATAAACATAGACACGCGTCGACCTACCTAGGAACAGGTGTCGTAGATCTGGGTGTCTCAGCCAAATGATTTATACTCGCAGGACTGAAACCTATACCTACTGAAGCTCTTCCAAAATCGTAATTATCTGTACTAGTCTCAATATAATATTTGCCACTGTTCGAGCTCTCATAATTGGTGTACTGCGTTCCCTTTTTTGACGTTTTTGTACTGTCGTAATATTGGGTAGAAGATTTGATCGACTGCTCGTTCTTTTCGTAATACTGATTGTTATCCGATGATTGTTGACTGTTATAGCGATCGTTGCTTCGAGAAACCGATTGTGCCGGACTGTTGTCCGTGTGAACATACTTTTTCGTTGGTGGACTATAGGTAGTTGGAGCGTAACTGCTTCCTGCATAATTTGTGAAATATTTCGAGGTGGTCTGACTTGTTTCTGATGTAGTGGAACTATGCCCATTTCTATACTGTTCGCTGGCACTGCCATAATTATTGTCATAGACTGTAGCAGCAATAGTTGTTGATTGACGGTATCCTCCATTATTACCGTTAGCACGTTGGACGTTATAATTTTTCTGATAATTTGTATAATCACTCGCTTGATAATTCGTGCTAGGTAATGCAGTACTGGACTGTGTGAACTGTCCACCATTGTAAGGTTGATATCCGTTTCTGTTGCCATTACCATTGTAATTCGTTGTCCTTAATGTAGTGCTAGGTGTATAAGATCCTGAATTATCCTGATTGTAATTGTTGTTCGTGTTGTAAGTATTGTAAACCGTTGCCTTGGCGGTAGAACTTGATGGTTGGTAACTGCTGTAAGAATCTTGATAATTCGTGTTAGGTCGATAAGTCGAGGACGCAGTCACGGTATATTTTTGAATATTCTGATTTCTGTTGTAGCTCTCTTGAGGTCGAATTGTGGAAGATGAACCGGAGGTAGTCGATCGTTGATTGTAATTGTTATTGTTGTTGTTGTTGTTGTTGTTGTTGTTGTTGTTGTTGTTATTGTTATTGAAAAAATTTCCATTATAATTATTCTGACTATTATAAGTCGATGATATTGCCGTGCTTGATACAGGATAATCGTTGGTGTTTCCGTTGTAGGGTTGTTTCCTACTCACCTTTCTGATACCCGTCTTCTTTTTCTCTGTAGTCACTGTTTCATCTTTGTAAGATCTTTCGTTATCATAATTATCCTCTTTATTTGTCCTATGGTTATAAAAACCAACTTTGCTATTACTATGTAGAACTTCTCGATTATTGTTGTTGTTATAATTAGCAGAAGAAACTCTATTGAGTGCATTTGCTGATGATCGCACTGGATCATTGCTTTCACTTCGTTGAAGATTATCTTGAGGTTCATCATCGCTACGTATTGTATCGTAATGCGGAGATTCTAATCCTGAACCAAGTCTGTACAAATCAAAATTATCGCTGGCGTAATAAAGAGTCGCAGCTTCGCAATCTACGTCATACCAATCTGCACACGTTTGACTCTCTTGATCGAAAGCAGTATCATTTGGACATAAAAACCTGAAAACGATATGTAATTTTATTTAAGTGTTCTTACAAGAAGATAGAGAGATAGAGAAACTCACTTATAATCTTGGATACTGCCAGATACAGAAACGCAAACGTGAAAAACTTGACAATCTGTTTCTGGATCAGCATAATAGCTACCAACTATTTTGTTACGACATGTAAACGCAGTTTCCGGCATGTATTGCTGAGAATATCTCGGTGGAGGTCGTTGAAGAGCCAATGTTGTACCCCATAATATAACCACTGAAATCCGATGTAAGATTGATGAGTGAACGTGTCAATTTTATAAAGATTACATTGTTAGATACATATGCTTAAAAAGATTTACGATACGATAGTCTCAACGGATGAAGATGTATCCTTCCACTAGTAGATTTAGAAAACACAAGTATCCAAGCAACTACGATAAAGAACACGCACAATCCTGATATTAAATGGTTCGCTAATTTTTCGTCCTCGTTATCATCAATGGGAACGGAGTTGATATAGTACGTTATTTTTATGAAAGCTTTAATTTTTTTTTTACAGAACGATGAATCTCAATATACCAATATGAACTATCGTAGTAAATCGTAAAGCAAATATTCCAGTAATAAAAATGATAAAATATCCTTTTTCTTCGAACGTACCCGGAAGAATAAGAAGGCATGGTCCTAAAGACTTCATGATCGTCTTCGTTGAATTCGTATAAAGTGAAGATTTTTGCAGTCGATGATCACCTTCGTGAACGAACTCTTAAAGACGACTGAGGTCTTGCCAAGGGAGTTCTGTGACGGAGATGTGCGCAACTTTCTGAGAGGATGGGATATCAGGGCCCGAGGATGGTAGTAGGGGGCCGCCTCAGGTCTAAGAGAGAATGTACGCGTATGTACGTATATAGGGGAGAAGAAGAAGAAGAAGAAGACGTAACATAGCGTTACGTCACACCACGAAGCTCGTCCACTAGGAATAGTAAGAGCAGGGAGCTCATCTGCACCATCAACAAGCTTATTTTAGATGCGCATTGGCATTCCCTATAGCAAAATAAATTTTTTCTCTCTTTTTCTCTTTCTTTCTATCAGTTGCCTTAAACGGATGTTATCGATTTCATCGAAGAATAAATCGAGGCTTTCATCAGATACCGTCTGAACCAAGAGATGCAAATGAGTACGATTAAATTTTTTTAGCTCCTTAATGAAAATGCTACAGTACAATTATAATTGAAATACATAACTTGGAAAATGAACACTTGGACTCATTGAATACGAGATACGGATACATAGTAATTCAGAAGTCTATTACTCATCGTAATAGAGACATGTCCTTGGCAATTAACATCGTATTAGGCCTCGAAAACTGAAAGACCTCGGGGAAAAAGATTCATGTACTTTGATTTGTGGTTACGTTCAGTGTCTTGCGAAGATCGAGGTCGTCTCATGAGAATTGAAATTTTGCAATCCGATCTTCTACGCATCCTCCTAACATACCACCGTTAATCTCAACGTAAAGCATTTAAAGAAAGAAGAAATAGATACTTTGGTATTTGTGAAATCTTGCTCGACATGCCTTCTCTTCTTCAATTTACTAAAACTCAATGATACATTTGTCACTTATTCAATCTATTTTTATTTGTCATTCCCTTATCCATTAACCATTAGGGAGATATTGCATCATAGTTACACGCTACTCATAACGGTTAATTAACGAGTAAGAGTATTATATTTTTCAATGACCGTCGCACGCGAGACATCCATTATGCTTGGGATGAGTTCAACTCGAGGAATCTTCTCAGCCTTGGAGGGCGAAAGTTGTCTCTGAAGCGGGTCCCCTATCGTAGATGGCACGATATTTGCACTTACAGGCGTGTACGTCTATTTACAGGCATCCACAGGCCTTCTGACTTACATGTACACGGGTATAGGCAACATAGAAGAAATGTGTAGGTGTAAGGACTTCGATGAAGATTCCTCCAGGCCTTCGTGTCGCGGTATTTACAAACTAGAATCGCCTTTATGGAGAAAGGAAGGTCTTTTCGATGTTCACGAATAGAAGTTGTTAGTCGTCAGACTAGTATTTTTCGTGATTTCCTTCCACTGAGAATGTTTCATTCTGAGAAGAAATTATCTTTGTTAAAAATATATTTATATTTGGAAATTTGCTCGAGTTGTGAAATGTTATGTTAAAATTATTGAGTCGTGACAATTACCAAAGAAACACTAATCGAATACTTTGGAGAAAGCTAGTAAGGTTAAAGGTTTTCAAAGTGTCTTTCCGCGATGAAATCTTTACCAATAGGGATAGTCAAGTATAAAATCAACGTCGACCTTCTTGTCTCTCTTTGAAACCCACGTTCTTGTTCTTGTCCCAAGATATTGTTCTATTCATCAATAAAATATTGATTGAGAGAGAACGAGAGAGAACGAGAGAGAGAGAAATTGGCTATTATTTCTTTCTTTTTTCTTTTTCTTTTTCTTTTTCTATTTCTTTTTTTTTTTCTTTCAGCATCGACGAACGGATGCTTGCTTGGCTCTAGTGTCCCCAACAAAGTTTCTTACTCAAGCGGATGTTAAAAAGGTGCTAAACGTATGCGAAATACATCGTACTTCCGACAATTAATTTCGATTTCAGATATATCTGTACATATTTCTCGGTGTTGGACCATCGTTTAATATACGAGTCATATGTGATCATTCGCATTTCCTATATCTTTCTCTGTTTATTCCTTTGACGCATCATCCATTGATACGGTGAAAGTGCAAGATTTTTCTTGGCCTTCTCTGTGCCATGCGTACTACTGCAATAAGATTTCTTTTCTTGAGGAGAAAAGGACAATTTTACGGAGATAAATACAAAGGCGTGGTTCAACGTATATACTTTGCATAATGTATTCGAGTGTATAAAACTAAAGAAATCTTTTACACAAGAACAATAAATTTGCATTCTTACAGATCCTGACCTACGTGACTGGTACATCACATATATGGCACTTTAATGATCTTTGTCGTTACAGTCACGTTGCTGGAGAAAGCATGAAGAAATTCTTTAAATCTTTTTATTATATATATATATATATATATCCTCGATCAGACGATTTATGTCATTTTCGGTTTTTCTTTAATCGGCCCATAAATTTTAACTCTGTCATATGTTTTACATTATTTTACTTATATAGAATCAAACTCTAATGAGATTGAATAATACATTATTCAATAAATCTAGAGAATAAATTTTCTATTATTTTCATTTGATATGTTCTTCTCACATATAATGTTTCATGGGAAACGAACTTACTTGACGATGAATATAAACATTTTCTTTCAAATAATATATGTTATTTAAATTAAAGAATGTTCACAAGTCTGTACCAGCTAGCTGAAGAAGTGCTGTTGGCAAAACGAACCGATAAATTCATGAAAGAGAGAAGAGTGATTCTAAAAGGAGATCGTTGTTACATGGTGGTGGTGATGGAGGAGGAAGAGGTGGGGGAGCGGATGAAGAGGGTTTCTTCTCGTTTCCACCATGTGAGAAAGTGAAAGCAAAAGGCGAGCGTACAGCAAAGACGAGACGAGATACACCGTGCCGTCTTCGAGTAGGAGCACGATCCAACGTGAGTCTCGTTCGTCCTGAATCAGAATATAATCAGAGATCGTTCGACCTTTTTTTTTTCCTTTGTTCGTGACATTCGTTACTTGTACTTCATTATTTTTTACTTCCATCTTTTTCTCTTGTACTTATCATATTATCGTTTTTCTTCAATTTTGATTTCATCTGAAAATTAATTATGTCATTAGATATTGATAAAGATTAAAGATAATGCCAAAGAATTCCAAAGAAATAAATAAAAATAATAAGACATTACCTCGAAGCTCCAATACCTTCTAAAAAGAATTAAAGGCCATAAAGAGATATATACATATATATATATATATATATATATATATATATATATATGTATATATCTGACTATAATCCTTGATCCCTTGTAATTATTAGAACAACGTACAAATAAAGATCTATTCCTCATCGCCATCATCATCGATCATCTTATACTAGATCCATCTTTCTGAAAATAGAGTTTGCCTTGAAGTAGAACCATCGGTTGCGCTCACCGAGACTATCGTTGTGATCGCGTTCATCACGAATCGCAAGGTCTCTTCTTGTTAATAAAAGGAGAAATAGAAAAAGAAAAAGAAAAAAATAAAACTGGAATTATTATACCGTCAGAAGAGATTTCGTAATGTCCTGTCAAATGTAAAGAGATCGTTAAACAAAAAAAAAAAAAAAAAAAAGAAAAAGAAAAAGGAGAAAGAAAAAAATACTCGGATGTTTAAGATAGTCGGTGGAGTCGAAAGCTTTCCACGGTCTATGCTCTGACAGCTGAGAGTGAGACGTGTGCCCGACCATGAAACGAGGGATGCTTAATTAAAAATTGTAATGGAGTGTTAACTCGGTGTATTCGATTTCTCTATTCTAGAAGGTGATCGTCCTTTCGTTTTGGTTCATAAACTTAGCGAATATATATATATATATATATATGTTGTATATATATACGTTTGAAGCAACTCTAGCGTGGAAGGAAAATGTGTTAAATTAAAAATGTTAAATTTATAGAGATAAGAAAAAAGAAATCATTTTATAAACGATTATTATTGTTCTAATGAGGAAGTAAACGTAAAAGAACGTTTATATGCTTCATTGAGTATAAATCCTCCTACTCGATACTCGTTTTCTCCTTCATTGATTTCAAATAACAAGACATTGATCTTTTTATCTGTCATATAGATCAACATTTTATACTAATATTTTATTCTATTTATCCTGCGATTATATTTCTTGATTTATAATCATAAGTCAGTAGACGGATGCTATATACGATATTATAGATAGATAGATGGATACATACAACTTTCTCTATCTCCTTCTTGAAGCTTTAGATAAAACATAAAATTCCTCGATGTACAGTGAATTTATCTTTGTGAGTTTTTTGCATTAAATTATGTAATATAACGAATCTGTCATCAGCATGATTCGATGAATTTTCTCGAAAACAGTATACATCTATCGAGAGAAATATTATTATAAATATTATGTTTATATATATTCACAAAGTATATATATATATATATTGATCTTATTTATATATGATACGTTTTGAAATTTCATCTTCGATGCTATTCTTTCAAGGAGAAAAGTTGAAAGGGTTACGACCTGCAATTCTCGTGAGAGTTCTTTTTTTTTGTTTTTGTTACCGAAGGACCGGACGTATAGGTGAGTCTTCAGAGGTGGGGTCAAGAAGAGGGACGTGCGTGTTTAATTAGCCGTGTGCCTTCAAGATAACAATGCCATGAACGGATTACGTGCTTGTTCATTGTATTTTCCTGCAGATGATTATAATATCGTTAGTCGATATTCAAGAAAATCTAATTAAATAATTAAATGTAATTATTAATTATATCGATTAATTAATGTTAATTTATGAAATTGTTTCTAACGAGATTACAATTAATATTATTATAAAAAGAAATTAATTATGAATTATCAATATAAATTAAACTATTATATTTTAAACTAATTGCGAAGAAAGTATAGCTCAATGCAGCAGATAATTAACTTCAGCTAAGTAAGGTGCAAACGATGGAATCGTTCGGAAAGCTAATGATACGATTCATTCGTTTACGTTCTGCTCTTACGGTTTCCTCCTACGATTAGCAAAGGATAATTTTCATAATTAACGTCAGCAGCTACGAATTTACACGATTATTATCCGCCACTGTTTTGCTCGAGTAATACGAGAGAATTTGAAGAAGAAAAATAATGTAAATATAGTGGTACCATAAAATAAGGAATTTCTTGGGCAATCAAGAGATTAGAAATCACCATTCGTCTAAAGATCAGCATCCTGAATAGGTCCATGTATATAGGGTGTTCCATTTGTCTTTCGATCATATCAAATATATCTACAAATTTTAATAATGTTAGCAATTATTTTTATAGAAAGAGAACGATCTTGATAAAAGTTTTTTTCCATCATAATTTGTTTATCTATTTCTTACAATTTGTTGTAATATTATGTTTTAAAGGATCAAATTTAATATAAGACACCCTGTATATATATTGTACAATGAAATCGGTGCAGATTCACTGTACAATATATATATATATATATATATATATATATATATATATATATATATATATATATATACATTCGTCAATGGTTTGGTATATCGAAGATGCCAATTTTAAGCGGGCAGGAGAGTACACGTGCGCAATACACGTGCCAACTTTGAAGGGGGTAGAAATGGAAATTTATCGTACTCTTTCAGGAGCAGATAGGGAGTCTTGCGCTAATGCATTTTGCGTAATAGGCCATCTTTAATTCTAGTAGAAAATATCACGTTGTGATACTTCTTACGCTCTCGGTGATATACAAAATTAATACATTTCATTTTGATTATGCAATGTTTTTTTTTTTTTTTTGGAACCAGCTCGTTCTAATAGCATCGTTCAACCTGTTCATCAGTGTGGATCAATTTAATATTATTATTGTTTAAATAAAATGTCCAAGAAAAGGAGAAAAAAAAACAAAAGAAGAAGAAGATATCGCACGATACTTACTGAATTAAGTTCCTTTTCTAGACGTGGGAATTGGTGCGCGAGTTGCTTAAATTGTTCGGTCGATTTTCTCACAGGATAGAACAATTCGATACGTCGGTAGCAAGAAAAATATGTCAGGACAAACGAAAGCCAGTGTAATTTGTGCAGATTTTGCCAGTCATTACGATACTATATCATTCATCGTGCGTGGAATCCTATAACAACAGTTTAGATCTTGCGAATAAGAGAAGTCGTAGGACTCCTGACTGATGACTTATCCCGTTGTACGAATGTATCGTTGTACCTTAGAATCTGGCACAAGGATGTACCAGTCAGTGAAGCGAATCCCTCTCGTTTCTATACGTAAGACTGGATCTACGTGTAAGATTTTATAAGTTATAATGTAAAGATCTTATTAAAGAGAGACTTCTTAGAAATTATAATTTATCCTTTTTTTTTTCTTCTTTTTCTTCTTTCTTCTTTATATATCGTCACTTGTATCAATTTTTTTCTTCATTTATTTACAGAATGATTACAAGAGAGGAACGCAAAAAAAAAAGGGGGTCCCTGTGGATTCACGCGATTTGTTTAATGTCTACCTTACAAGCCACGTATTATTATTTTAATTGCTCCCACGACTTGTTTCCCCAGGTGTTGCGTCACGCGTGAACACATTTCACTTTTTAACTTATACTTTCATTCTTCATTAGCCGAATCATCGTCAACGTTAATAAACGTTTCCTTTTTCATTTTCGGGTTGATATTCAGAGATTGTAGTTATCAAAGATACCTAACGGTTAATAATTATTTATAATAATATACTTTGTTTCTTTTTGTTTTCGTTTATTCTTTCAAATTGTTTTTGAAAGTCTTACTAACACACCAAAATTTCCATAGATCCTTCGTAATTTTACTTTCACTGATGCGTTATCTATTCTAGCCATCTCCGAAGTATACGTTTCTGACTTGTATACGTCTTATATGTGTTTGCTCGATGATGTAGTCTCCTCCGTGAGAGTTTTATGAATCTTCTTGGTTCTTATTCATGATAAAATATATATATATATATATTTTTTTTTAAATAATATACTTGATACAATCGGGCTCTATATTTATATTGTGTATAAATCTTGTATTAACAAATTTTATTACAAATTAGAAAAATGAATGTTCGAAGAATTTATTGAATAACATGTATTGTGTATCTACCTTTGTATACTAGATATTCTCGTAACAACTAGAATCTCTTCTATTCAGTCTCTATGATCGCGTAACACGTGCAATATGCATCCGAACGCTTTTCAATCTTGAACACTGAAGAGTCTTTCGTTGTATATGATGGAACAAGGAAATCTTCCCCTTTACGCAACAGGAAATGCTTCTCGCATCTTTGAGAAAATAAGAAACCTACCACATACGATATACAAAGAAATAGAAAGTATTAATAGAAAGTTTTAAAAATGTCCTACAAATTTCTTAGAGCAATTCATAATCGTTTGTTTCGAATTAATTTTTTTTTTTTTGCTGACATACATAAATGTAACACGACACATCTTCGTCATGGATTGTTGAGATTTAATCTGTTTCTAAATAATCCATATTTTATAAATTCTTCCATTCGTACATTACTGCTTCCAATTATAAAACATTTCAATGCTTTTTCCAAAACTGAAAATTTCATCTAATTAGAATAGGGAATATTGATTTATATTAAATACAATAGTAATGATGAATTTAGTAATTTTTCAATGATTAATGTTTATCTGTTTGGTCGGTAAAACAAAGAATTACTTTTACCGATTATTTTTAGTCGGATTGATAAGTCAGAGAACTATAAGATATCTCGTGATCGGTCGGTAACGATGGTAAACTTTATATGATCAAAGGAATGCAAATGGACAATCATCTACGAGATTATTTCAATGAATCAAGCTCTCTTCAAATGTTATTACTGCATTTGATAATGTATTGATGGGCATTCTTCCTCTTTGGCAAACTTGTGTCTATTGGAATTCCGTAAATAACATATCATTAATGAAGCCATTAAATAGACTCAATATATTTAACAAATAAAATTATTTGTTGGTAACAACGTACAACGTTTAGGAGTACTCGTAAGATAAAACAGAGCAGTTCCTACAACATGAAAAATTAAATTTAATTTGAGATTTAGAATATCTTTTTTTTTTTACAAATTTTTAAATAATTTTACAAAAATATAGTAAAACTGTATTATATATAAAATATATATGTTTTCATAAGCGAGAATTTATATTTTATATTTTAAAAGCTTCTTGCGGTACAGTATTGCTTTTCAAATCTTTTATAAAATTTTGAATACTTTTTCGCATATCCCAGTTTGTCTTATTCAAATATGTTTTACACCATTCTTTGGTTAATTTAGTTATTTGCCCAAATTTTGTAATTATTTCAAATTTCTCTGTTGAGCTAAAACATTCAGGTATAAAATCCTCATTGGATACTGTACTATCTATATTAGTTAAAGATTTATTATCTGGAGCATCACCAATGTTATATTGATCATTTGTAATAATATATTCATTGTCAGGTCTAACTGATAAAATAAAAGTTCTATTAAATGACAGAACTTGAGGATCACTACCAATATTCTTAAACAATCCAGAAATAGATATGGCTATACATTCATTGTCATCATATATCAGATCATATTGAAATGAGTTTTTATCATGATAAGTCTTTGGTAATGTTTTTAGAGCATTTAATACATTATCTTCTCCATAATATAAAAATTTATCCCTTTTATTAGGATCTGTTATTTTTAAAATATTTCTATTTGTAGTAAATTGCACTAATTTTCTTTTATGTGCGATAGAAAATGGAATACTAAAACTGAAAGAGTAAAAAGCATGTTTATCATATAATCCTCTCAAAAGCGTTCTATCTCCTTGATCGTATAAATTGAAAAAATGTGTAACAAATTGATATACAAGTTCTTGTTTTGTACTATCTTTGAAATAATTATTGTATATTAATGGCATATCAGAAACAGATATAGATACACCATCTAACTGAATTATATGTGGGCAATGTGCCTTCACAGAGTTTATATATTGTTTTGCACTAGAATAATTTTCACATAATGGATTACCATCCAACCAAAGTTTCACAATTGTTAAATTTTTTAAGGCCCCAAGATCTTTCATGTTCATTAAACTATTGTACCTTAGATCTATATATTTTAAAGAGATTAAATCTAAAGATTGCATTGCATCCAATGTGTATAATTCATTATGCTTTAAATTTAAATGTTCGAATGTGGCCACTGTTTTCTTTGCCACTTTTAATACATGTTCCAAGTTTGTTATTTGAGACAAAGGACAATAAATGGATTTAGACAAATCTAAATCCTTATGAAATGCTTCCAAATCTAATGATTTTGTATTAGAATCATACCTTCTTGTCAGAGTAGTTAGAAGAAGTGGTTGAATATTAACATTTAAATCCTGGACCGGGGCAAAACCCAACACTATTGTCAAAATCAGAGGATTACCATGTGGATTTTTAATAATTAAACTAGATCTGCATAGTTTCTCTATAGCAGGCCCACAATTTTTAGCTATAAAATATGAGTCTTCGCCACGCACTTGATATTTCACTGGTAACAAATATATAGGCTTTATAGAATTCAATATAGCTTTTAATACTTCTTCCTTGTTATACTGTGCACCTCTAATAACTTTAAACTCATGCCACAAATTTGGATTTTCCATTAGTAGCCGTTCTTGGAACATAGAATTTTGACCCATGGTCAATTTCATGGCCACAGAAGAATCTAGAGTACGAGTACGTGAACATCCCAAATTTCTTTGCATATTGCTTGATTTCTTGTCAAATCAATAGCATAATATTAATGGCAATATCTTTGTTCAATATTGATATATATATATATATATATATATATATATATATATATATAACTATTGATCCTGTTTACAATTTTCTTGAAAAAATACCTGTGAAAAAAAAATTTCTTATTTACTGCATATAAAATTTTCTAACCTATGTGAACTCAATAATATAAATAATACATAATTACCAATAAGTTCCTAATTCAATTCATAATTCTAATTATCTTTTTTTTTAATCATTGTTTTTATAATAATTCATAATTTTTTATTGTAAGATATTTCTTTCGGATAAGACATTTTGAATCAGTTAATGCCACCATCCCGTAACAACATAATCAATATAATATTTGAATGTACGATATAATATTAAAGAAGAAGATATTAACATAAACATAATTAATGATAACGATTAATAAATGTTCTGATAATAATGTTAATTGAATATGTTCTTAAAAAAAAAAAAAAAAAAAAAGAAAAAAAAAAGAATATAAGTACTACTTGTTCGTATTATAATGACGATCCAATCAGATTTCGTATTATTCGATTAATTTCGATCGACCAATCACAGTCACCTACTGAAGGAAGTAGCAATATAATTTCGATATTATTGCGATTATCGAAATCTCGAAATAGTAAGATTAGTTCCGCCGGTTCGTGACATAGTCCAGATTCGAAATAAAAGTCGTCGCGGAAAAGTTTGTATAAATGAAGAATATTAATATTATTGTGGTAAGTAAAATGATCTCTGTAAAAATTACATCGTCATTTTTCTTTGTTGTTAGAATAGAAAATTAATTATTACTGTGTCTAATACATGAAATTTATCTATGTCTACTTTCGTCGGGGGAGTGGGAGGACTTCTTTAAGCAATGATTTCTTAAAAGTTTTCTTCTGTCTTTGATTTCAGCATCATCATTGTCATCGCCTGATTGTCATCGAAATGAAAAAAGAATTCTTCCATATCTACAACGAGCCGTAGTTCGAGTATCGTCATAATCATTTACCTATGTACGTACAATTGCGAAAGGTGTAAGTAACTTATTTCTTTTAATATTCTTTTGAACATAGATGTGATAGTTTTGTATCTTAGGATAGACCGTTGATCGTTTGCGTTATACGTGTTCATACACGTGTACATATATATATGTATATATATATATTATACATATATATACACATACATGTATATACGTGCTGCAATATGACGATACGAAGCGCATTATAGCAATTCAATAATAAATTGTAGAACGTTCGGTCCGTTGTATTATGCGCGGGTAATCACAGTAATAAGCAGTTCTAAAAGTAACGTAAGTACGTTGTAGGTAGTAACGAATAAGCCGTAATCTCGGAGGATGCTCTCTCTTGCCTTCTCGACGCATCGATACAACCAACGTTCGATGCTAGAGAACGAAGAGAAGAAAGCGAGAGAAAAAGAGAGAGAAAGACAAAATATGATGAAAGATCCATGGGCGTCGTACGTAAACGCGATTATTCTCAATCGATTTATAACTTTATACATTTTCTTCGATCTTTTAGCAATGGCGCAGATCTCTACCTTATCCGAGTGTTCTCATATATATATATATATATGACATTTTCGATTATCGAAATGTATGGAATTAATTAACCGCGCCATCTGTGGTTGCTCATCGAAAAGTAAAGTTCATCATATGATAAGTTATCATATGATAAGGTCGATAAAAAATCTTGTTGGTAAAAAGTATTTCGTAATATACTATCTATATATATATACACATATATATAATACATATGAGTATATATGTGTGTGTATATATATATATATATATTTATATTATATACATATATCTTTCGCAATCTGGCCTCTGGGGCACACACAAACTCTTATAAAGTAAATATAGTATATACGCCTATGCCATGGGTATATAGGGAGTACCTTGTACGTACCCGTTAAGCCAACATCTAATTCGATAACTGGCGAAAATAATAACGTAGCGATCCGTTGCCGTTCTAAGAGCAGAAGAAGAGCGTCTTGTTTCTCAGCATCCCTTTTTTCCTTGTACCGGGTGTTCGTTAGAAATCCTTTCAACAACAAGAGAAATTCCAACGTCTTAGATCTTTTCACAATTTTCATCGTTGTTCGTTATAATATCGTCGAATCGTTATATCGATTATTACGATGGTTCGAATAAAAAAAAATGAGTGGTAGGAAAAGGGAGCACGATTGGCGAAGTGATAGAGAGAGAGAGAGAGAGAGAGAGAGAGAGAGAGAGAGAGAGAGAGAGAGAGAGAGAGAGAGAGAGAGAGAGAGAGAAGAAAGAGGAAGGAGAAAAATGGTGGGAAGTTCCGAATGAAAAAAATTTTTCGGATGCGATGGGTTGGAGGAAAAGGGGGGAGAAAAAAAGAAAGTAAATAAATAAAAAAAAGGAAGGGAATCTCGAGGTAAAAGAAACGGTAGCGATTTATAACGATGCGTCCACGGCTACCTCGGTAGTCGATGACACTTATTAAAAGTTTCGAAGGTAGCTGGGAGCGGTGCATCGATCTTCTTCGTCGTCGCTGTCTCGTCCCACTTCTTCTTCATCTTCTTCTACTTTTCCTCTTTCTCTTCATCTTCTTCATTTTCTTCTTCTTCGTCTTCGTCTTCGTCTTCTTCCTCTTCATCATCTTTATCTTTTTCTTCTTTTTCTTCTTCTTTTTCTTCTTTCTCCTTCCGCATCATCTTCTTCGCGCAACCGAGCAAGTAAGCAACCGAACAACCAAGCAACCAAAGCAAACCAAGCAAACAAGCAACTCTGCCTTGTTGCACGTCGACGAGAAATACCGAACAGTTTAATAAGCACAAGCGGTCAAGGCGATACCGCGATACAAGATACGAACCTGCGTACCATCCATCACCGGTCTCGACTTTTCGGTGGCTACTTTATGGACTCGATACAGGACTGTAGGGATTTACTATGGATCTTTTTTTATGCATTAAAAAGAAGGTGAGAAGTGGATGAGAACGAGCACGATATTGTCTCGATCGAGATATTATTTAATCACTTTCGAATAATAATATATTAATCTGTGACACATAATATACCATATTATACATTTTAAAATTATAATATTAATAGATACTCTTACATTTACTACGTACGTCGATAGAGAATTTAGAAGCAACTTATATTTTATCTCGATCGTTTGCGAATTTCATTCTACCCAATCTCCACCACTCCGTGTTCCACCTTACTTACCTTCCCTTCTTTTTACTATGCCACGGTGCTCCACCTCGCCTCTCCTCTTTCTCCCCCGTCGATGCATTAAATTCATCGTTCGTATTTCTCGCGTAATGTTCGCGACGATAATAAAGCTCGGAGGCGCGCTCGCTCGTATCCTGGTGGTCGCGTGCAAAAAATACGTTAATTCCGCGTAGCTTGCATGACCGTGCAAATAAATAAAACGGCAAACACATCGGGGCCGTGGCACCGTATTTTATATTTTATCCGGTTCGAATGATTGATTGCGCTCCGGTGTTCCTGCTACCGACACACAGAGTCCGCGAGCGAACGTACGTACGTACGTACCTACGTATGAACGTACGTACGTACGAACGAATGAACGATAGCATCTCTCGCGAAATGCCTTGCCACGGCCGCCATACCTACGGACTGTACTTGTCGTTTCACGCATTGTTTATTATTGTCCGATGCTTTTATCACGATCGACGTTATGTTGCCAGCCGGTATGAACTGCCTCGAGCACCGCGCAACCCCCTTTACATAGAACGCGTGAAAGGAGGACAAGGGGTGGACGAGAAGAGAGAGCCTCTAGGTCGCGTGTGTTGTTTCATCGAGCTTTTTTTTTTTTCTTTCTTTCTTTTCTTCTTTTTTTTTCTTCTTTTTTTTTTTCTTTTTTTTTCTTTTTTCTTCTTTTTTTTTTTTCTTTTTTTCCTTTCTTTCTTTTGTACTTTTGTGTTAAAACATCGTCGAGATCGATATTCAAAATAAAATTGATTTCTTCCGACGTATATGATAAAGTTTAAGAGAGAAAGAGATTCTCGTACCTCGGATGAATAATTATTATCGTTACGCGAGAGTGATTACGATAATTATAACGAATATTATCTCTTCTGTCGATCATATCTATCGGTATTATAAATTTTTATGATGTACGAAGAAATAAAAAAAAAAAAGAAGAAAAAAGCACAGTTTTAATCTCGTACGCGAGAACGTTGAAGTAAGAACAACAAAAAAAAAAAAAGGCTACATATTCACCGATAGTTCATAATATATTTTTGACATGGATCTTACGAAGAATTTTTTTTCTTCTGTTTTTTTTCTTTTTTTTTTTCTTTTACTTTCTTTTTTTTTTTTTTTTTTTTTTTTTTACGAAATACACTGATAAAATAATATACGAAAGTAAAAGCGGAATAAGGGAGGCCCAGAATGTGCGCGCACGCTCGCGTTCCGCGTGTGTACTACGAGGAAGATCGTAATTACAGAAGCGAGACTGAAAACGCGCGCCTTCCTCCTTCGGAGCCTGCGAGGCACGATCTTCGATAAGTATAGTTGTTTCAGGATCGCGTCGATGCCTCTCTTTTACTCCCGCTATCTCGCATTATTGGTACAGGTCATGTGAAAAATTTATTGGCTCGAGCCGGATGCGTACTCCATCGTCTTTTCTTCTTCTTCTTCTTCTTCTTCTTCTTCGACGTTCCTGCAGGCAACTACTGTCATTTTTATATTTATCAACATCCTTAGAAAAATATCTATACTCTGTAATATATAGCTTTGTGATCCTTCCGTAGATCGATAACGCCCACGATGACTAATTAGAAAAAAATAGTTGCGCTAAAAAAAAATTAGACCCCCATTGAATATAACAATTTAATATATATTTCACGATTATATTTTTACATTAAATATGAACATTTTAAATAAACCCGCTGAAACTGTTTTATCAACATCGCGGTCGGTAAAAAACCTAGACGGAGAGTTTTTAATTCCTGCCGCTAGGTGGTATTGCTAGTGAAGTTTTTACCGCCTTAGAAAGAGAAAAAGAAAGAAAAAACAAAGGGAGAGAAAAAAATGGAAAAGACAATGAAAAGAAAAGAGAGCAAAAAGAAATTATATAAATCGATCAATTTCAAGCACACCGCAATGTCTCTTATTGAAATTAATCCTATAAATCCTGCTTCAAAAGAAAAAAAAAAAAAAAAAAAAAAAAAAAAAAGAAAAAAAAGAAAAAAAAAGAAAAAGAAAAAAAAACAAAGAAAAAAAAATCAAGAAAAAAGAAAAATAACGAAGGTATTTATTCCGATAAATTATCAGATTGTTACAATAAAAAATAACATTGTTGATATCGTTGAAAATAATAAGATAGGCAGGTACGATTTGATCGATCTCGATCTTGTAACAATTCATAATATAAACGAAGAACTCCGAAGTTGGATTCGGATAGCGAGACGAAAGGGTTACATTGACGCAAAGTAGTAAGCCCCGGGCAGATTCTAGTTGAGGTACAGATTTATTAGCGATAGAGCGTTTCGATAGCCGCTCGTGCATCACCACGCCCATTCCGCGTGGCTGAAGAACGGAGAGAACGAAAGGCCGTAAGAAGGGACGTTGAGAAGAGAAGAGAAGTGAAGAGAAGAGGTGAAGGAGGAAGAGGAGGAAGAGGAGAAGGAGGAGGAGGCAGAAAAGGAGAAGGAGGAGGAGGGTTGAGCCCTCCTTGGCCTCGATGCGCTCGCAACGATGCGGAACGCTACGGCTGGCTGCTGCGCCGGCCCAAAGAACGCGATGCACGGGCCTACCGTCGATATAGCGCCGATGCTTTTCTTCTTCTTATTTTTATTTTTATTCTTATTCTTTTATTCCTTTTATTCTTCCTATCCTTTTTTTCTTTATCCTCGTGCCTCGCTCGATCGAGCAGCCGGCGGAGGGGAACCTTCGACGATTTCTCGCCCTCTACGCCCGAGGTGCACCGTGTTCTTACGAAGCTTCAACGAAGCTTTGATCTTTTCTCTTGGAGATCGTGAGAATGAGGAAGATGTAATTGTTCCCTCG